TGGGTGGGCTTTGAACTCTGGTCCTCCTGATCTCTGTCCCGTAAGTAGTTAGGATTACAGGTGTGAGCCACCATGCCAGGCTTTCTTATTTTTTTGCAGTGTTAGGGATTGAACTGAGGTCCTCATGCATGCTAGCACTCTACTGAACTACATTCCCAACCCTGATAGAAAATTTTAATTTAACTAACTATAAATTCTTTTTACAATGTGTCTTTCCCTTTCTTTGTTGATAATCCCATATATCCCCTTCCATGTTTTTCTTCATGCTCATGTACTTGTTTGTACATGACATACATTTGCAAAAAAGTGAGATCTGTTGCTTCTACTTTGTGTCTTTTTTTACTTCTTAACACTAAAGACATTCCTGAATTAGTATAATTTCACTGTGTTTGAATAGGACATAATTTATCCAGCCATTCTACTATTAATCACATTTAACTTATTTCCAGGTTTAATTAATTAATTAATTTATTTATTTATTTTAACCAAAAACAATGCGTCAATATTGTGCTTAAGTTCCATTGATTTGTTTTGGTGATTTGGTTTCCAGATGTAGGTTTGTTGAGATGAAGGCTATATATGTTTTTTTCTTTTAACAGATGCTGTTGGATTCTTTTCTCAGCTGTTTAAGTTCCCATTTTTATAGGCAGTGTATGGAAGAGTCCCTTTGCCCACATTCACACCCTGTCTCCCTCCAGCATAGGTGCTGGCTCTCAAACTTTCTTACCAGATGCATGAAGGTGGCATTTCATTTTATTTTTATTTACATTTCTTTAACTACAGCTGAGTTTGAGCATGTTTTCATTTGCTTAGAGACTATCTGATTTTTTTTTTTCCCCTTCTATAACTTGTTTATTCTACAATTTCTTTTTGGGTGTCTTACCAACCAAAAATATTCTAGGTATCATTTTTTCTGTGCTGTCTGAATTGCAGATTTTTTTTTTTTCTAAATCTTTTGGCCAAAGTTTATGGGAACTTTTTGCATGGCAAAAAGTTTGATTTATATATATATATATATAATCAAATGCATGTCTGTTTTAGCACTTGTAGTTTTCCTCTCTTGGTTAAGGTCCTCCTTACACTAGATTATATTGGTTGTCTCCTAACACTCCTAAGACTTTCTTAAGAAAACATTTTATTAAATTTGTTCAGAATTCATTTGTATATGTTATATGAGAGAATTACAGCATTTTTCTCTTCTAGATAGTTGTTTATTTCTGTATATTAAATAAATTCTCCACAAAATTGAAATGCCACCTTTACATAGCAGCAGCCATAAAAATTTTTTAAACTTTAATTCATTGGGAATTAAATAATTTATTTAATCTGGAATTAAATAAAGCTTACTAAATTTTGAAGGAAGCCATTAAACTTTGCCATCAGGATGTAGATTTACTCTTCATTTGTTCAGATATTATGGCCTTAAATAAGATTTTTTAATTTTTTTTCATATGTGTCTAGGGTTGTCTTTACTATATTTCTCCTTAAGTATTTTATGTTTGTAGCCACCATGAATGGAATTTTCTCCTGCATCATCTTTCTTTCCCCCTGGCAAGTGCTCTACCACTGAGCTATATCCCTAGCTCTTCATTTGCATTTCTGGGTATTAACTGCCAATGTAAAGAAAGCTATTAATGTTCTAACTTTTTTTTTCTTGGGGTGCTGTGGATCAAACCCAGGACCCTCCTGCGTGCTAGGCAAGCACTCTACTACTGAACGGCATTCCTAGTTCTCATTTTTCATGTATTAAACCACCTTATCACATTTTCTTACTAATTTGGATAGTTATACAGTGTTCTATTCCCTTCATTAGAAATGGCTGTTGAGAGTTGCCAGACAGAGTGGCTCACATCCATTATCCAGCTACTTGGGAGGAAGAGATCAGGAGGATCAAGGCCACCCCAGGCAAAATTAGTGAGACCTTTCCCCCCCCCCCCCAATCTTAATTAGGCAGCCATGGTAGCATTCAGGAGGCATAGTGCAGCAGAAAGGGCTGGGGCTTGGCTTAAGTGATAGAGCACCTGCTTAGCAAGCCTGAGGCCCTGTGTTGTTCCAACTCCAATACCAGGAGAAAAAAGAAAAAAAGAAATGGTTGTTGAGTTTTAGCAAATTATTTTCAGCATCCACAAATAGGATTGTATGGCTTTTTTACCATTTTTTTTTCCCTCTTCTTTGATGGCACTGGGGTTCAAACTCAGGGCCACTTGAGCTACTCAGCCAGCCCTTTTTTTTGTGATGGGTATTTTCTAGATGTGTCTAGAGAAATATTTGCCCAGGATGGCCTCAAACCATGATCCTCCTGATCTCTGCCTCCTGAGTAGCTGTGATAAGAGTGCGGTGTGCTGTAAAGATGCATGGAGTGGTCTTCCTGTAATCCTGTTTATCTCCCCCAGCCCTTACCATAATGCCTTCTTACGTGGAAGAGTAATAAACTTCAGGTTCTTTGCTTAGAATTGTATATAGACTGCCGGAAATTGCTCTCCATGTCTGCAGAATCTAAAGGTGAAATACCATGTCCCATTTATAATGTTAAGTGATTGGAATTCTTCCAATCACTTTGTATTGTCTTTATTAGGTTTTGGTATTATTGTTATGTTAGCTTTATAAAAAGCTAAATTTTTTTTGCTCAGAAATAGTTTGATAGCATAATAATTTTCTATCTTGAAGAAAATAATTTTCTGCTCCTTGAAATTTAGGAGAAATTTCCCACAGAACCATGTAGGCCTACTTCTCCCCCTCCCCCTTTTTTTCTTTTGACACAGGATCTCAGTATGTAGCCTAGGGTGCTTGAGATCTTCTTGCCTCAACCTCTGAGTTCATACCTGACTTCTTTAAATTTTATTTACTTTTTAGAAAGTGAACATCTTTTCAGCATGTTTTTACTCATTAACACAGTCAAAAGTCTTTTTCTGTAATAAGTTTTGGCTCTCACCTTTGGCTCTTCCCAGCCTCTTGGTGGTATTGGGGTTAGAGCTCAGGGCTTTGTATTTTCTAGGCTAGCACTCCACCATTCAAGCCACGTTTCCAACCCTATGTTTAAAATCAAATCTTATTTAAAATTTTATTTGGACACCTTACATGTGAAAATTTCCTTGGACTTACAGTTCTTAGAGTACAGGTTTTAAAAAACCCTGTACAAACCCCAGTTCCACCTCCCGCTCACCAAAAAAAAAAAGAACACCATTCTGTAGCTGGGCAGAAGTGGCTTACACCTGTAATCCTAGCTATTTGGGAGGCTGAAACAGGAGGATCAAGATTTGAGGCCAGCCCAGGCAAATCGTTTGTGAAACCCCATTGCCAAAATAACCAGAGCAAAATTGTTTGGAGGTGTGGCTCAAGTGATAGAGAGACTGCTTTGCAAGCACAAAGCCCTGAGTTCAAACTGCAGTCCCACCAAAAAAGAATTAAAAAAAAGATGTAATAAAATATTTGGATAATTAACTGGGCACTGGTGGCTCATGCCTGTAATCCTAGCTACTCTGGAGGCAGAGATCAGAAGGATCACAGTGCAAAGCCAGCCCAGGCAGATAGTTCACAAGACCCTATCTCGAAAAAACCTATCACAAAAAAGGGCTGGTGGAGTGACTCAGGGTGTAGGCCTTGAGTTCAAGCCCCAGTACCAGCACACACACACACAATTAGATAATTAAATAAACACAAAGATGCAGCTGCTGCTCAAGTTAATCTTTTTACAAGTGATATCATCATATCTTTGTATGAAAGCATGAAATGTTTATATTTAATGTACAAATGCAAATTTAATATTGGAAATGCATCAGGGATGTCAGTACGGTAGTGTTTGCATAAGGAATTGAGCATAGGGAATTGTTTAATCAACTGTCAGATTATCAATGGGGCATATATTCCAAGAGCTCCAGGGACAACCTGAAACTGCTGTTAGTACCAGTATGTATTGTTTCTTCCTATACATACATACATACTTACATACTGGTGTTTTGTGATGTTATTAAGTCCAAGAAGAGTTATTTGAACACAAGCACTGTGATACTTCCAACACCTAGTCTGATAACCAAGTCGCTACTAAGTAACTAAGTAACTAAAGGGCAGGTAGTGTACACCTTATAGATACATTGGACAAAGGAAAGGAGCCCTACAGGATGGAGTGGGATGTTGCAAGTTTTCATCATGCTACCCAGAATGGCACACAGTTTTAAACTTATGAATTGTTTGTTTCTGTTTATTACATTTTCTGTTTTAATATTTTCAGTCAGTGGGTTAACTGAAACCATGGGAAAGGGAGATGACTGTATAAGCCAGGAAGGGAAGTGAGTCATCACAGCTGTTTGGCCACTGTGCTAATAAAGGTTTCAGTGACCAGGAGGGACTTAAGATAATTTGATTTCATTCTTGCTTTTCCTTGTTCTTCATTTTAGTAAACACAGAAATAAGTTGTGAAATACTTAAAGAATTTGGTGGGGAAAGACTGTTGTTAGACCTAGCTAGCTCAGTATTCCTCAAACTGTTCTTAGAATCCATTTATACTTTTAAGAAACTACCCCCAAAGATAACTTTTGTTTATGTGGACTATATCTACTACTGATGTTTACTAATTTAGAAATTAAACATTTTTAAAGCTTATTATTTTAAAGTAACAATTGCAAATGTGTTACAGTTTTGTATAAACATTGCTTGCAAAAACTGAAATAGAATAACAATGTTTTACATTTTTACAAATGTCTATCATGTTTGCCTAAATAGAAGTTGGTTGGATTCTTATATCTGCTTCTGCGTTCACTTTGTTGAGATGTCACAGGTCATATAACCTCAGGAAAACTCATCTGCATAATTATGAAATAATGAGAGTAAAAAAGACAAACAGCATCTGTGTATAATGAAAGTAGGTGTGACTTCCTAGAGCACCCGAAAGTGTGTCAGTTCCACCTTCACTTGACCAACCTCTGTTGTATTTTGGTCATGAGTTGTGTCACCACTGGTATGAGTTTGTTTTCCACCAACTCTCTTTCTTTGCTTTGTTGCAGAGTCCTTTGGGCAGAACTATCCAGAGGTAAGAGCATAGTTTTGTCATGATTTATGAATCGTGGTGACTCCCTAGTGATTATGTTTGATGACAAAAAGTATTAAGTGTGATATAACCTATCTTTTGCTGTGATAAAAATGAAATGTTTCACTTGAGCGGGGAAATAGTAATATTGATTCGAAATTTTACTATAAGTCTTACAGTTCATTTTCCTTTAAAGATAAACACCCCACAATTTAATTTGAAGGGCTTTTCACAAATGATACCATCACCTGTGCACAGATTTTTTTTTCTGTATGCTTTTCAAATTTTGATCAATGCTTTTACATAGTAGTAAAAGTGTAAGTGTGCTTTTGTTAACACTCGGATATATTCCAGTTTAGTCATTGTTGTTATTTTAAATGGCTTGATACTGATAGAAAATAATTTTCTTGATGTTTCTAATGTTACACATACAGGCTATTCCACGTTTTTCCCCCTACTTATTAAACTATTTTTCTTGGAATAAATTCCTAGAACTATGATTACTAGGTCTATAAGTGTGACTATTTTAGTGACTTTGGTTACATTTTGCCATTTGACCTCCAGAAAGTTTGTACAAAGTTATTGTGGTAATGTAAGGGACTGGTCACATCTGTTTCCAAAATTCTTGGTTAGCTTTTATCAATATTACTTCATTTTAACTAATTTAAAAGATGTAGGAAGACATACAGAGATTATTTTGGCATGCATTGTAATTTAAATATAAGAGAAATGTCATAAATAATAGAGAATTTTAAGTAGCCGTTTAGATACCTGGCCACTATTGTGTATATTTCTGTACTTTTTTAATTTTTAGGAAGCCGATGGAACTTTGGACTGCATCAGCATGGCCCTGACTTGCACCTTTAACAGGTGGGGCACACTGCTTGCAGTGGGCTGTAATGATGGCCGAATTGTCATCTGGGATTTTCTGACAAGAGGCATTGCTAAAATAATTAGTGCACACATCCATCCAGTCTGTTCTTTATGGTAAGGAATTTTTATTTTATTTACTTAATTAATTTTTTTTTTGTGGTGCTGGGTATTAAACCCATCACTTTGTACATGCCAGGCAAGCACTCTGCTACTGAGCTGTATACCCCCAGCCCCAGGAATATTTAAGTTAACATGTTAAATATGAGTTAAGATAGGGGAATAAGTGGTAAGGGTGTATTTGCTAATCTCGATATAGCTATTTTAATATTTACCAAATAAGAATATTGTCCTTGATGCACCTTTGTAGGGAGAAATTGATGGTGATAGGGATTTGTATCAGGTCTTTCTGTGAACATTTTAATGTTGAAATAAATAAGAGCTTAGCAGATTGCAGCTGTAGTATAATTGTGATACTGACCTGTCATTTACTATAAAATCTTGGTTAGGAGAGAAGCTTGAAAGTTCAGCCTTGTTTAAGTTCTTAAATTCCAGTAATTTTTAGCAATCACAGGTAGTACCTATTCCTTTATTGAAATAGAGTCAGTAAGGCTTTTTATCAAATATATTGAGCTGAAATCTTCTGTTATACAAATTCACATTGACTTTACTTTTACTGTCTGGAACTGCTCAGTGACTTTGATCTTGCTCTGAAATAGATCAAGGCTAAATTACAGCTATTTCCTGTTGTCTGAATGGAAGCAGCACTGGCATTATAAAGCATGCATTGGGAGGTGCCCCCCAGTGGCAGTCCAGGTTTTGATACTTAAGAACTAACTGGTGGCTTGGGCCAGAACTTTTCTCTGATGTGCAGAATGGGACCACTGGCCTGGATGATCTCTTACATCCCCTGCAGCAGCTTAGCATTTCTTTCTTTTATACGTTCTTACAGTAAAGGTTTAAATAGATACATGTGTTTTTAACAGCATTATTAAGATAATGATTTACATAAATTCATTCAGTTTAAATGCATAGTTCACTGGTTTTTGTATATCAGAGTTGTGCAACACCATCCCAATCTAATTTTAGGACTGCTAACTGAAAATGTGTATTTTTTTAATAAACTAATATATATTCACCATTTTAGGAAACTACTCAAAATAAAACAAAGTAGAATTACTGTTCCCCATAAATTATTTTTTCAGTACTGGGTTTTGAACTCAGGGCTTTGCACTTGCCAAGACATTCTACCACTTGAGCCACCTGTACCCCTGCCCCCACCCTTTTGCTTTAATTATTTTGCCTATAGGCTCTTGTGTGATCCTCCTATTTATACTTCCTACATTGCTAGAATGATGACAGGTGTATGCCACCCCACTCGGCTTTTTATTGGTTGAGATGGCATCTTGTGGACTTTTTGCCCAGGCTGACCTGGAACCACTATCCTCCTGCTCTCTGCCTTTGAGTAGCTGAGATTACAGACACAAGCCACCTCGCCTAGCTACCTATAAACATTTTCATAATTCATAAATACAGCTTTTTAAAAAAACAGTTTATAATTGTGCTATATTTTATTTTATGTTTTGCTTTTTTTCTTCTTAACAGTGTCTAGAATTTTTCCTGCTTAAAAACATTTTTATAGCTGTATATCTTTTGCAAAGTCTAATTTTTTTCTTTTGCAGTTCTAAGGATTGAACTCAGGGCTTGCAGTATGGAAATATAACTTAACCATTTCCTATTTTCCCCGTTACATAATAATGTAATTATTTAATGTTTGGTGAATGTCTCTGTGCATGAAGTTTTTCTCTCAGTCACTCATTCACTGAACAAATGCTGAGCATGAATTGTGTACTAGGTAGTATGTTAGGCATTATGAACACAAAAATAATGAGAATAAATTCTTTTTTGTTCATTTTTTTGTTCTTTTTTGCAGTGCTGGGGGTTGAACCTGAGGAGAAATTCTTGATTATTAGGGGGAGGTGGGTGTATACACAGGTATGTGTAATAAAGCTTTACAGTTCTTGTCCAAGAAGCATCTTTGAGATTTAGTGGGGACTTAGGTACAAAGAAGGAAGTAATCAGTTAGGCCTGCGGAGAGTAGGTGGCTTCATAGATGCAATAATTTCTGAGGTGAAACTTGTAATATGAATAGGTGTTTTCCAGGTGTATACTAAGCAGAGGGTGCTGTACAGGCAAAGGCCTGTCAGCTTGAAACCAGATGGTAAGATGGGAGCGCCAGGTATTTTAGGATCCTGGATGGTGGTGGTATAACAAGAGCCAAAGTAGGCTGAGATCATCATGGAGAGCCTTGTCTGCCATATTCATGCACTTGAACTTAACTTTGTCTATGCTATCAAGTCAAAAGATTTTAGCAAGAAAGTGGCATCATGAGCTTTTATTTTAGAAGTTCTTTAGTGCAACCTGTAGATGTGGAAAAGAGGTAACAGTGAATGAAGATAGGAGAACTGCAGTGGTTAGGCAAGAGGTGATAAGGATAGTTGCAGTAGTAATGGGGCTGAGTGAGAAAAATACAAGAAATGGTACAAGTTAAGGGGTCATGGTTATTAATGAAAGGAGGAGTGCGAGTGAAATGGAAAAATTAAGGTGTTCCTTAGCTTTCTGATTTGGATGAAGATGTTTATGTAAGGTTTGAGCAGAAAATGGTGAGTTTGAGATCATGGTTGCATGTCTTTGTTATTCCTGACATTTCATTGCAAATTTGTCTTATGAGTATCATCCCTGGAAGATGGTAAGTGCAGTGAGTGTAAGAATGTCGTCTGTCAGTTCATTGCCATTTGCCCACTTGTGGCACTGAAGCTGGTATATAACAGGCGTTTAGGCATTTGTTGAATGAATGGGATGTTTTAGTGGAGCTGCCCAGTAGGCATTTGGTCTGTGATTTAGAGTAGACTCTTGATAGTTTGTTATTAGTCAAAGAACATGAACACTGATAGATTTTTCTGCCACTTCCCCCAATATTTTAAACTTCTTAAAATCACAAAACCTATACTTGATTATTAAAAAAATTTTTAAAGGTGAAATGAAAGCTCTTTGTCTACTCTTTGGGGGCAACCACTGTTAAACAGTTTGGAATATATCTTTTGTTTATAAACATAGCTGCATCTTTTTCCCTGTATATATTAAAGTGTATATATCGATGTATGTGTTTTTAAATAAATTTGGAGGCATATTGTATATTTTGTTCTGTAGCTTGCTTTTTTCCTCTTAATATATAGTGGAAGCTTTTCTGCCTCATTTTAAGTAATTGTGCCTAGATAGTGTTGCATATTATAATGCTTCATAATTATTTACTAATATTTTATACAAATGAATATACTAAGACATCATAGTTATAATCAGAAGTTACACACATTTTGTGTTTTTCTTTGGTTTATTCCCATTACAATATACTTTTCCTGTTATTTTAATTGTTATCTAATATTTGAACATATTAGACTCTGGAAGTTTTGCCAAGAGAAGTTTTAGGTAGACATGATAACTATCTTCAACCATTTTACAGTTGGCACATGAAAGACAGAAGTGGCCCAAGGAATAGAAGCAGAACTACTATTAGTGAACAGAAGTTGTAGGGAAATAACTGTTAGCTCTGAATAGGGAAGAACTCCCCAACAGCAATGGCATGGATGGGATAGACTGCCCAGGAAGAACTCAGAGGGACTGTCCCTGCCAAGCTTGCAACAGATGAAGCTCCAGAGGGTGGGGGACACAGATAGAACTAAGTGATCTTTCAAATGAAATGATTTGGGACTGGAGGTGTAGCTCAGTGGTAGAGCTCTGGCCTAGCAAACTCAACAATCTCCAGAGCTGCAAAACAAAACCTAAATGATCTTTGTAATTCCAACACTCTTAGTAAAGATCCATCAATCTTTTGGAAAGAAGCAGAACCTTTCAGACATGATAAAGTATAACAGTTCTTAATTCTTGAATTTATAGAATTGGACATTGAAGAATTATTTTTATTTAATTTTATTATTTTAGTGCTAAGGATTGAACCCAGAACCTCACACAAGCTATGTATTTGTTCTACTATTAAGTTATATCCCTAGACAAGAATTATTTTTTTTAAATAGTAGAACCTTTCTTAGGTTGCATGCACCTCTATTTGTAACTTAATTTAAAAAAATTAGAATTACCCTTTCATATAACAAAAATCCAAGCTTGCTATGAAAGAATGCTTAGAGCAGAGGGGTCTGAAGGTAAAGTGGAGTCATAGCTGACTGTTCCATAGTCAAACTGCTGAAAGACTAGGAGAATAACAATGAAAGCTGCCCTCAGCTTCCCCCCTCCCAGTCTTGTGGCATTTCCAGTGCACTTCAAGTTTTGGAGCTATTTCTTTTGATAATTTATCTCCATATTTCTAAAGGATGTGTATAATGTGTTTTCTTGATTTGTTAATGTTATAAATTATTCACAAGCTTCCTATTACAGTGTATTTGAATTATTTGTTCACCTGACTCTTACCTCCTATCATCCACAGGAACTGGGTGGGCTCCTGACTTTTTTGTTGTGAATTTTCACATTTAACATCTCTTTGGAGTTCACATTCTCTAGAAGGATCCTCTGATTGCCTTTCCGAGGTATAAGCCTGGCTGTAGGTGTTCTAGAGGAAGACTTTTGTATGCAGTCCTAAACACTTGAACTTAATCCCTCCATATTCATTTCCCCTGTTTACCTCTGATGTTCTCTGTCCCTGCAATCCTGAGTCTGGGAATACTTTTGTCTTATCTCTGATATAAATAGTTATTATTTTTTTCTGAGCACTTACTATGTGCTAGGCATTGAACTAGGAATTATATATATATTTACTTTAGTTCTTTGAACAGTTCTCTGTAGGTAGCTACTGTTATCATTCCTGTGTTATATATGAGAAAATTGAAGCTCAGAAAGGCTATATAACTTGCCTGGGGCCACACAGCTAGATGGTAGTAACATTTAGGCTTGAGCAAAAAGAAGCCTTACTTTTGAAATTATGTTGCCTGCTAAATTCTTTAATTGCAACTACTCTTCATTTCACAGTTTGGGAAAATATTAGTTGAGGTTTCTTTTTCTAGTCTGTTTTTCCTTTCTCTGATTCTTTCCTTCCTGTGGGTTACTTGAACAGATTTTTAGTATTTTGATTTATATGTGGTATTTTTAAGTATGTTTCTCTGTATAGTTTTTTTAGTTGTTACTAGGTATAAATGTTACATAAATACAACTAATCAGTCTACTAGTATTAACATTTTGCCAGTTCAAATAAAGTATGGGAACCTCACCTTCCTTTTGTCCCTTTTCCCTACCTTGTATAAAATATAATTGTCTTAACTATTTATTGTAGCCCACACGAGGCAGTGTTACCAATTTTTCTTCAAACATCAAAACGCAAGAAAAAAAAAGTTATTTTATGTACATGTTATTATACTGTTTTCATTATACTTTCCCCCTTCCTAATGTGCTAATATTCTTTATCTTTTTGTTTTTCTTTAGAGAATTGTCTTTAGCCAATCTTTTGGGTTTTTTTAGGTCTGCTGGCAGGGAATGTCTCGATTTACCCTTTTGTTCCTCGTTTGAAAATTATTTTCTTTCAGCACTTGAAAAAATGTTGCGCTACTTCCATCTGACCTCTGGTTTCTGATGAGAACTCTGCTATAATTCAAATTGTTGCTTTTCTGTAGATAAGGCATCATTTTTCTCTTGCTGGTCTCAAGATTTTTTCCTTGGTCTTCAGTTTCAGAATTTTTTCTGTATGTTTTAGAATGGATTTCTTTGGACTCAGTTTGTTTAATGTTCACTGAGCTTCTTTTTTAATTAATTAATTATTTATTTTATTATTCATATGTGCATACAATGCTTAGGTCATTTCTCACCCCTGCCCCCACCCCCTCCCTTTCACTGAGGTTCTTTAATCAGTATGTTTTATATCTTTTGCCAAATTTGGGGACTTTTCAGCTATATTTCTTTAAATACTTTTAAGCCCCATTCTCTTTATTCTCTCCAGGACTCTGATGACAGGTCATTTGTTACATTCTCACGGATCCCTGAGGGTCTGTTCTTTCCTCCCCCTCTTCTTTCCTTTTTAAATTTTTTAGTCTGTTTTCTCTTAATTCAGATTTGCCATTTTTTTTTAAATTCTATCTTCCTTATGATCATTCCTTTTTTTCCTCTCCATTGACCACTGACTCCATCTGTTTTTAATTTTTGCTACTATATTTAATTTCTGTTACTATATTTTTCAGTTCTGGAATTCCCATTTGGTTCCTCTTTATATCTTCTGTTCCTTTGCAGAGACTGCTGTATGGAATTGGAAGTGGTGGTCCCTCATAGGTCTCTGCTATTACCATCCTGTCTGAGAAGGACAAGATTGACTTGTTCTTTCTTCCTGTAGGGCCTCCACAGACACTGTGATGGTGAGACCTCATTACTGTTGGTGGTAATGAAAGCCTTGCTTTCCACTCTGCAGTCTCTGACAACACCCCTAGTGAGGGGCCAGGATGTCCTGCTACAGCTGGATAAGGGAGGAAGTTGCTTGTTCAGATCTTGCTGACCCTCTTGGGAGAGGGGAGGTGGGGAGACTGAAGTTTTTTGGATTGTTCTCTAAATGTTTTTTGTCTTGCTGGGCTGTCCTTTCCTGGTCCTTCAGCTAGAAAAAGCAGGATCTTCTTAGGGTTTTGTGTGTGCTCCTTTTGGTATTACCAGGTTGTTGGCTTCTGCTTCACCCAGTCCAGGGTATGTGAGGCAAAAAAAATCCAGGGAACTCACTTTCATTAGTCCCTTAGGTTCTGCAGTCTCTAGCTGGTGTCTTCACCTTTCAGAGTCTTTTTGTATTTGTCTTATAGAATGTCTTATAGCTAGGGTATTTAGCTCTGCTTAGCAGGAGATCCTTTTTTTGGCCAGACTAGGTTTTCACTTCAGGGCTTCACACTTAGAAGGCAGGTGTCCTACCACTTGAGCTATGCCTTCCTTTCTTAATTATTTTAAAATAATAGATACTTTCTTTTTGTTTTGTTCATGCTGTGTTGGTGCTGTTTCTGGGACAACTTCAGAAAATTGAGATATACTTCATCCCTATAATCTCCCTCAAAAAAAATCCCTGTTTTTTTAATCACCTCTTAAAGGCCAGCTGATTTGGGGACTTTTGACTTTGAGATAATACTAGACATGGAAATGTCATGGCCGGATACATGGAAACTCATGTCTGACATCCCAGTTACTTGGAAGGCTAAGATCAGGAAGATCCCAGGCCATCCTGGGCAAAAAATGTGAGACCCTATTTGAAAAATAACCTAAAGCAGAAAGGGTTGCAGATGTGTCCTTAATCAGTGAAAGACTGTCTAGCAAGTATAAGATCCTAAGTTCAAAGCCTAGTGCTGCCAAAAAAAAGAAAAGAAAATGTCATGAAAACATATTTATTGGTTAGCTGTGAAAGTTTGTTGTAGATTTGAATATACTTTAAAAAAAAAAAAAACCAAAAAATTGTTGACCTTTGCACTAAGGACAAGGTGGGTAGCGCCCATATTTTATGCATAATAGTGGTATGATATACTTCACTTAGAGTATGTGCAAAGTAATCCTTTTTTTTTTTTTTATCTCCTAGCTGGAGTCGAGATGGTCATAAGCTTGTGAGTGCTTCCACTGATAACATAGTGTCACAATGGGATGTTCTTTCGGGCGACTGCGACCAGAGGTTTCGATTCCCTTCACCCATCTTAAAAGTCCAGTATCATCCACGAGATCAGTATGTTTAAGATATTCCTTTTCTGGGGTGGGGTTTAACTCTGTATGGATCAGCTTTGGGCTTATAACAATTTTAGTTTAAGGATCTGGGAGGCAAAAGCACACATTTCATCAAACCTTTACAGAATCATTTTTCTATCTAAGTTGGCTCTACTGAATATATTTTAAGGTGATAGTTCCTATATTATACAGTTACAATCTGGTCAATATCAAGGCCTGGAAATGGGCTAAGGTAGGAATAAGTATGACAACTGGCTTTTCCCTTCCTAGATTATTTAGACTTTAGTGTGGGGAAACAGTTCAGTATTAAAACTACATTTAAGAAAAATGTTATCCACCATTCCATTCCCCAGACATAGCTGTTTTCATTTCTCTGGGAACTCTTGTATCAACTTCTTTGTAAGTATAAAGCTTATTCCATAGTGCCCCATAGCTCAGTTCATATTCAATATACATAAACACACATTTTTTTAGAAAGTTGTAATCAGTATTTTGTTTTTTACCTCATTTCATATTTTACTAGTTTACTGCATCTTTATTTTTGCTGATTATACTTTATTGTTTCAAAATAGGGTCCCATAATTTTACTCGGTCTTTTCCCTGTTATCACACATGTGGATTTTGTGCTTTTTCACTCCTTCATATTTGCTTGAGTTGGGAGAGTCCGTGAGGGTAGTGGACAGGGATCAGGGGTAAAGGACAGGTAAACAGCCTGCTGATACCAAAGCAATAGCCGATGTGCTGTTCGTATTTTTAAACAGGAACAAGGTTCTCGTGTGCCCCATGAAATCTGCTCCTGTCATGTTGACCCTTTCAGATTCCAAGCATGTTGTTCTGCCGGTAGATGATGACTCTGACTTGAACGTGGTGGCGTCTTTTGATAGGCGAGGGGAGTATATCTATACAGGAAATGCAAAAGGCAAGGTAAGCCAAGAGACCTAGCAGTTAGCAAAATAAGCCTTGGGCATCTTGTGAATTGTCTCATTTCATTTTGAAATTTCTTCTGTTCCTGGGGTAAGCATGGCTCCTGCCTATGGCAAATGTAGCTTGTTTTTCTCTCATGCCTTAATAATAATTTCTGTTCTTTGTATTTAGAGTAGACAGAGATTATTTGGCCTAGGAAAGGAAGGAAGGGCCTTTACTAGATGTTAGTAATAAAGAGCCACTATGAAAGTATAAATCTTAGACGTCATATTATCAACTGGAATTGCTGATGAAAATGTCTTAATACTTAGTTGTATAAAACATTGTATAAAGCAGGCTAGTTTAACCTGTGGTACTAAGATTTTGTTATCTTTTTTCCTTCTTGGTGAACTTCTGATCTTGCCTTTTGGAATGTTTGGAAGGTGTAGGTCCTCGTGGGACATATTGTTGTAGGGTTTTTCTGTGGAGTAAGAAGTCAGGTTAGGGGAGAGTTCGGGCTCTTTGTGTGCTTTAGAGTTTGTGGGTTCATTAGGTGCCTTGATTTTTTTTTTCCTTTTGGATTGGGGCACATGGATTAGTATAATTCCATGGCTACTTTAGAAAGTGGCATATAGCATGAAATTTCTCATTTTAAACATTTTTGAATGTGAAGTTCAATGGTATTAAGTATCTTTAGCCTTCACCACCATCCTCTGCAGAATTCTTTTCATCTGGCAAAACTGAAACACTGTGTCCTTTGAGTAGTAGCTTCCCAGGCAACCATAGTCCCTGACAACCATTTCTACTTTGTCTCTTGGATCAGACTACTGTAGGTACCTTGTATAAGTGGGATTATATTGTATTTTCCCATTTGCATAATTTCACTTACCATACTGTCCTCAGGGTTCATTCAGGCTGTAGCGTGTGTCAGAATTTCCCTCCTTTTCAAGGCTCAGTAACATTGTGGATGTTAGAACACATTTGTGTACTGTTTGTCTGTTGATACATACTTCGGTTGCTTCTCCTTTTTAGCTATTCTAAATAATGTTACACATCATATTTTAAGAATAGATTGTAGAGCTGCAGATGGGGTTCATGTACACAAGGCCCTGAGTTCAAATCCCAGTACTACCTCCCCCCACTCCAAAAAAAAAGAATAGATCATTAAGACTCTGTCTTTTATTTGAAGAAGTAAAAGGTAATTCCAGTTAATCAGGTTGGGTATATGGGACTAGAGATGTTTGCATTTTTACTCAGATTCTGCACAATTTTAGAAACAGAAGCCAAATCATATTATTATTAGTTATCAGAATACTTTTTTTCCCCATAAACTAGATTTTGGTCCTAAAAACGGATTCTCAGGATCTTGTTGCTTCCTTCAGAGTAACAACTGGAACAAGCAATACCACAGCCATTAAGTCAATTGAGTTTGCACGGAAAGGAAGGTGAGTGAGACCTTGTTTGTTGGTTTATTTTAGGTTTGCGGGGGGGGGGGTCCTCTTTTCTTTTTGGCAGTACTGGGGGTTAAACGCAGGGCTTTGTGCTTACTAGGCAGGTGCTCTACTGTTTGAGTCATACCTACAGTCTGTTTTTGTTTTGAAGATAGGTTTTCACTGTGTAGCCCAAGCTAGCCTTTAACTTGTGATCCTCCTGCCTCAGCTTTCTAAGTACTAGGATTATAGGTGCATGCCACCATGCCTAGTGAAATCCTTTTTTTTTCCCCTTTTTTTAAGAGCAGGCTTAAAAGTGAATAGAATGCAAGAACACATTGAGATTTGTAATTTTTTGTGTATATTGAACTTTAATTATTGAAATTATTAGAAACTTTCAATATCTGGTTTCATAAAATTTCCCTCATTGAGTCCATAGTCACATTTATAGTAAGCACTAGGTAAAAGTTAAAAATTTTATTTTGTCTTTTTAACAGTGGGTCGAACCCAGAGCCTCAACACATGCTAGTCAAATTCTCTGTCATTGAGCTAAACCCTCATCCCCTAATATTTTTATAATCAGACTGACATCATAAAGTTCAAGTTGTAATTGAACATGCATTTATATAAAACCTGTTTACCTTTTTAATTTCAGATATTATTCTGATAAGCTTGGTTACCCAGTTGATGTAGATATATTAACAGAAATAAGAAGAAATGGGCTGTCAGACAGCAATGATAGTCATAGTCATCCTTTTCTGCTTAGGAACACCCATATGTACTTAGAGGACATTGATGGTCAAAAATGCTCTGTGTGTGTTCATGGTACTGGGACTTGAACCCAGGGCCTCTTATATATGCTAGGCAATCTCTTTATCACTGAGCCGTACCCCCAGCCACTCAGAATGCTCTTGAATTAAGAAAAAGTCAGTCATTAGGCTCTGTAAGAAAGTAATGAATGACTTATATTTTAAATGAATTTCTAAGATTTTCATTGTCATGGTAAAAAAAAATGTGAGACATTTTCAGATGACATTCTTAGTTTATGAACTCATTAAGAACAACATACTGTATATAAAACAGACCAAAGAAGTGAAGTATTTATATACGTTTGTGGATTAGCAAGCTGGCTTCAGTTTAGAAATCTCAAATCTCGGTTAAACACTGACAGTTTTAACATGTTGAGTTCACGGGTACACAGGAAGAATAAAGTGTGTATTCTCACCTCATTTGCTTTGGAAGGAGACAAGAAGATAAGCATTCTAGTCTTAAGATATTTACTGAATTTCTTTCCAGTTAATTAGTTGTTGTGTGGTACTGTTGTAAGTAACTGGTAGTAATGGAAAATGTTAACAGAAACAGATTTCTGACCTGTGCTGTTGGTATTTTTCTCCTTTCTGTAGCTGCTTTTTAATCAACACAGCTGATCGGATAATCAGAGTTTATGATGGCAGAGAGATCTTAACCTGTGGAAGAGATGGAGAGCCTGAACCCATGCAAAAATTACAGGACTTGGTGAATAGGTATGTACAGCAACCTGGAAGTTACGTGGTAGCTCTTCACGGGTTCAAGTTCCAGTTCCCCTTGGGGACTTTCTTTGTCCTTTAGGACCCCATGGAAGAAATGTTGCTTCTCTGGGGATGGGGAATACATAGTGGCAGGCTCCGCCCGGCAGCATGCCCTGTACATCTGGGAGAAGAGCATTGGCAACCTGGTGAAGATCCTCCATGGGACGAGAGGAGAGCTCCTCCTGGATGTAGCTGTGAGTAGAGCAGGGCATTGCTTTGTTACCTACCTAGTCCAGAACATCTCGAATATGTTCTAATAAGCAATTCTCCTTTCCTCATTAAAATTTAGTGGCACCCTGTGCGACCCATCATAGCATCCATTTCTAGCGGAGTGGTATCCATTTGGGCCCAAAATCAAGTAGTAAGTATTGTTCTGGTTGACCTCCTTTGATATCCCTTCTTTTTTGTCAAAGACCTTCACACATATTAAGCTAATGACTACCTTAATTGCTTTCTTTTACATATCATTCTTGCAGTCTAATTAAATAAGTTAATTATTTTGAGTTTCATTTTATTTTGGTGGGAAGTTCTTGGTCCTAAACTGGTTTATTGGCTCTGTTTTAATGGAAAAAGTCTAATGTACTTTCTGTTACATTTTTTGATTATTTGAACTATATTTTTTATTATCTTTTTAAATTTTCAGCTTAATTTCTGTTTTATATCTTGGCTTTAATTTGAACACTTTTAAAGTAAATTTGTAATCACTGTACTCATAAGAAAATTGAACATTTTACCCTAAAATTACATCTTATTATTTATTTTGTGGTTTGAACTCAGGGCCTCACGTTTGCTAAGCAGTCACTCTACCACTTGGGCCACAACTCCAGCCCTTTTTGTGTTGGGTATTTTCAAGATAGGGTCTTGTGAATTTTTTGCTCAGAGCTGGCTTCAGTCCTCCTGATCTCTGCCTCCTGAGTAGCTAGGATTACGGGCATGAGCCACCATCACCTGGCTTTAAAATTAACATCTTAAGAAGATTAAAGAAGCAGTTATTTATGATAGAACTACAGTTAATAACTTGAAATGTTTAGATAGGAAATATCCTAAGATAGTAAACCTTAGATACTTAATTTTTACTCTTTCTTTCCAGATTTATTTGTTTTGTTTTTGTTGTTTTGGTGAGACTGGGGTTTGAATTCAGGGTTTTGTGCTTGCAAAGCAGGTGCTGTACCACTTGAGCCACACCTCCAGTCCTTACCTCCCAAATTTAAACTTAGAATTCTGAGTCTCTTTCATGCTCACATCTTTCACTTAGTAATGTCTGGTTACTGCTTTCTCATGTGGTGAAGCAGTGCACTTTGTTTTGGTATAGGAAAATTGGAGTGCATTCGCACCAGATTTCAAAGAGTTGGATGAAAATGTAGAATATGAGGAAAGAGAATCAGAGTTTGATATTGAAGATGAAGATAAGAGTGAGCCTGAGCAAACAGGTAATGTTTCTCAATTGCAGACAGTATTTTCCAAAAGGAGAAATGACTTCTTTACTTAATATTCTTAATTTGAGTTACAAATTTTATTTCAGCACTTAATCTGTCACTTTTTTTCTTTAAGCATACAGTTTTCACAGTGTTTGGGGAGTCTTAATTTATACAACATTAATTAAGGGCTTATAGCAGCGTTACTGGGCTCAAGCAGCTCTTGACATTTCACTTGTGTTTCTTGATTAACTGCAGATGATTGAGGGCTTACATGCAGCACCTAGCACAGCACCCAGGTACTGAGTGCTCAGCTTGTGTCCCATATTCTGTCACTCCTTTGCTAGTAAGAGAAAGGTCAAGAGCATGGGCTCTGAAGTCAGATAACTTTGAGCAAAATACTTACCCATAATACTTAAACTTGAATTTCCTCTTACGTGATTTAGGGGTAAGAATAGTTCTGCCTTTTAGGGTTACAGGGAATAAATAAACAATTTATGTAAAGCACTTAGGATATGCCTTACCCATAATAAGTGCCCAAATGTTATTTTCTATATTAAGTTATAATTATGACTGTGATTATTATTTTCATCTCATCTTCTGAACTTCTAGACAGGACCTCCTGGAAAATAAAGATTGGATGTTTTATCTTCAAGGTGTCTTAACACAGGGCTTTCTACGTGGTAGGGACTTGTGAGTGTGAATGCTGACTGTGCCCAGTTGGCATTGTAATTGATGCCATGCGTCATTGATTCCTGGCCTTCATGGTACTAGGAATGAAGGAACCCAACTGAGTTTAGTTGTCTCCAAATTGAAAGTGCTAGTTTTCTGCCATTTAGACTATGAAGCATTTACTAAAGAGCCATTCCCAGATTTCTTGATCATCATAATTCCCAATGCCTTTATGGTGGAAATTCAGCCCCTGTTAAATGCTTAAGTAAATAAACTATTTGGTTTTCTTCCTTTGTATCCCCTGGAGTTCAGCTTATGAATGTCATTTTTCAAAAAGAAATTTCCCACTTTTTCTCAAACCTCTCCTGTGTTTCTGTCCTGCAGGGGCTGATGCAGCAGAAGATGAGGAAGTGGATGTCACCAGTGTGGACCCCATTGCCGCCTTCTGTAGCAGGTGAGCTTCCGGGAAGGCTGGGTGGAACGTTCCTCCTGTTTCTGGTGGAGCACTGCTTGGTTCCCCTGGCCGTCTGTCTAACCCACTTCCTTATTAGCAGAAAGAGAGAACTCCTTTGCTGTACAAGAAATGCAATGTAGTCTTTCTTTTCTAGTCCTATTTTCCCTTCCTTTCTCCCTAATACAGAGTTTTAAGAAACTGAAATAATTAATCTGTTCCATTTATGATTATATTAATTTCTGATTTCCTTTGTTCATCTTGACTTTCTTAAAGTTCTAGATCCACACTTGTTATGTATGCTTAATATAGGTGTTAGAGGAAGGGCTCATGGTTTAAGCAACTATCTCCTCTTTTTTCCAATCCCTTGTCTGATCCTGTTCCAAATAGTGATGAAGAGCTGGAAGATTCAAAGGCTCTGTTGTATTTACCCATTGCCCCTGAGGTAGAAGACCCAGAAGAAAATCCTTATGGCCCCCCACCGGATGCAGTTCAAACCTCCTTGATGGACGAAGGGGCTAGTTCAGAGAAGAAGAGGCAATCTTCTGCAGATGGGTCCCAGCCACCAAAGAAGAAGCCCAAAACCACCAATATAGAACTGCAAGGAGTGCCAAATGATGGTAAGAGCGACCTCTCCATCCTTATGCCCGCAGGCTCCACCTTTTACTCTCCAGCACAAACTGGCACTTTCCTGTTTGAGTGATTTTTACCTTAAAGGAATTTCCTACCAGTCTTTTTTATAGCACTTTATAGCTTTGCAATGATTGCATCCATGTTCACTTCTTTTAAAATGGGGAAATTTTGCCTTTCAGTACTTCGCCTAAGATGACATACTTTGTCTTCTGACACATAGCTCAGAATTAAGGGGTTTCCATAGTGTAGTGGTTATCATGCTTGCCTGACATGGCTCAGAATTTGTTTCCTGCAACTTATTTGTCTTTTAAATTTTTTCCCATAGAGTGGTTTTATTAGGTAGTAGAATACTAGTCAGCTTTGGACAGTCATTTTATTCTTTTTGCCTGATTTTATGTGTGACTCTGGAAGCTTTTTTACCATGTGTTTTTTGGATGGGTAGAGGGTATGTGTGTGTGTTTGTGTGTGTGTGTGCACATTTACCATTGAGCATCCTCCTTTTTCTTCAGATCAATTAATTATGCAAATACACATTTCCCTGATGCTTTCAATTGTGTGTCTGCTCTATTCCAGGCACTGTTGAGTGTTTATAAACCATTGCTGATATTTACATTAACCCTGCACATTTTTTTCCTTTTCTTGCTTTACAAAGGAGAAAATTTAGGCTGAGGTTACCAACTTGCCCAAGGTCTCACAGAAAGTGGTATAATCAAGACTCTTGCCCTGATCTATCTAGTTCCAAAGCCCACTTGTTTTGTAGTCCCTTGTGTTTGTGTGTGTGTGTATATGTGTGTGTGTGTGTGTATATGTGTGTGTGTGTGTTCTGACTTGGTTCAATAGAGTATCAATATGTCTTTCAGCTACCTTTTCAATTTAGAGTTGCCTTGCCTTATTCTAACCACATAGGCCATATGTCCCTTTTGGCCTAGCAACTATTTTTCATTTTATAGCCACTCCTTTGTAGTTTTAAAAATAATAAACAAAGGCAAACCTTCTGCTTAATAAAGTCCCCTGGAGCACAAAAGCAATGTTCTTTGTGCTCAAGGGTCTAGTTGAGGGGTTGGAACTGCTGTTGTGTGGTCCTTTCCATGTTTGTCTGTCTTTCTACAGAAGTCCATCCACTACTGGGTGTGAAGGGGGATGGCAAATCCAAGAAGAAGCAAGCTGGCCGGCCTAAAGGATCAAAAGGTAAAGAGAAAGATTCTCCATTTAAACCGAAACTCTACAAAGGGGATAGAGGTTTACCTCTGGAAGGATCAACGAAGGGTAAAGTGCAGGCGGAACTCAGCCAGCCCCTGACAGGTAAGGACACATTGGGAGCACTGTCTGGCTTGCTTTGTGGCCTTGCTTTGTACAGCCCCTGACTTCCTTTAACTGCAGCATTTTTTTTTTTTCCCTCTTCTTCTTTCCCTCCTTGTTCCTAGCAGCAGAATATCTCTGAATTTTAAGCAACTAAAGGCAGGCTAAACCAGAATTGGATTAATTCAGTGGTTCTTAACCTGGGTCCATAAACAGGTTCCAAGGGAACTGCATTCCCCTGATACCATATGAAAAATAGTATGTGATTATTTTTCTGGGGAAGATGCCCATAGCTTTCATCAGATTCCTATAGAGGAACCATGACCCACAAAGGTAAGAACCCCTGGTTTAATTCATTTCTTCCTCTGTATTTGCAGTAGGTTTTTTGTTTGTTGGTGAGTTTCTTATTTATTTTTGTGTTTTGCTTCAAATGAAAGAGTCAAATAGCCAGAAAGTCAGCTTATTTCTGTGGCCCCTAACTGTTTAACTCTAGCATCTGAAATATCTGAAAACAAGAGGAAATTACCAAAAAAATAGAAACTACACTGTGTAGCATCTTAATACCTAAGCCTTTTGAAGCTTAGTATTTGGGTTTCTCACTTTTATTCTGGTGGTACTGGGGTTTGAACTCAGGGCCTTGCACTTGCTAGGTAGGTGCTCTACCACTTGAGCCACACCTCCAGCCCCAGGTTTTCTCACTTTTCTATGATCAAGGGATTTTTAATTGGGGATAGAGAACCATTTCAGTTTCCTATCAAATACTTTTGATCCAAGCTAAATGGTCTTTTGTTTGGAAAACAGTAATAAGACTAGAATCCATTTCTGTTTTTTGTAGCTTATTGAGTAGACTCAAGGAAAGATTGATAAAATACCGGTGGCTGTATTTAGGTTTATTCCTTCCTGCTTTAAAATTTTAATCTAAAAGTATTAATTCAAATGTGATCATAAACACTAGAATGGAGAACAGTTCTTTGTTTAATTTATACCTTATGTCAGTTAATCAATGTCTATGAATGTGAATTCTTTGCTACAGAGAAACTGAAAAACAGACTCAATTCATCACTGTTTTGAGTATTCCATCCCAAGTTGGCTAGATTTAGACTTTAGTTTTCCATAGGCTGATACCAAACCACTGAGCACCTATATTTTTTCCTCAAGAGCAGTATTTATGGTGCTTCACTGCTAACTAGTTACCACCTCCACATTCAGTTCTCCTAATGCTGTCTGTCTGTTAATAGCATGGAACAGTCATTTGGGCATTGCCAGGAAAGACTGCAGATCAGTAATTGACTAGACATAAATAAAGATGATCCTTCTGTAGTCTACTTCTTGCACAAATTGATGCCACTACGGAAGAAACACAACTTAATGCTTAAATAGATTTCCTGGCTCAATTGCTTTAGAGTGATTTAAGATGCAGCTAGATGTGTTAAATTAATTAAAACACTTCGAGACAGTTCCCAGCTTCTTCAAAACCTGTCTATAAGGACTACAGGTGTGGCTCAGTGGTAGAGCACTTGCCTAGTATGCACAAGACCCTGGGTTGGATTCTAGCATCTTTCTCTCTCTTCCTCCCTTCCTTCCTCTCTCTCTGTCTGGAATCTAGCATCTCCCTTCTCCCCCTCTCTGGATTCTAGCATATCTCTCTCTCACACACATATACACACAAAGAAAACCCTAGCCATAATTGATCTTGTGAATTTCAATATCGAGTATTTGGTAAATGGTAAATAAACCATTTAAAATTTTTTAAAACTCACATTTTCCTCAATAATAAAATGACTTCAACTTTGAATTACAATTGATGTGGTCACTTGTAATTAAATGTCTAAATAAGAGTCAAAAGCAAAATATTGGAAAGTTTACTTAGGCCTGAGGGAATGGGTTTTTTTGTTCCTTAATTCTCAAATACTGAGCCTGGGCGCTGGTGGCTCACACCTATAATCCTAGCTATTCAGGAGGCAGAGACGAGGAGGATCACATTTGAAGCCAGTCCCAGGCAAATAGTTGGGGAGACCCTATCCTGAAAAGAAAATCCATCACAAAAAAGGGTTACTGGAGTGGCTCAAGCAGTAAGAGCTCTTGGAGGCCCTGAATTCAAACCCCAGTGTTGCCCCACCCCCAAAAAATAAACATTAAGACATTAGTGCTACTATCTTCATGACAGAAGAAAGTTTTCAGTAAACTTTTGAATTATGTGTATACATATTTAAGCATTTAAACAACTCGACATTTCAAAGCCCTTTCTAGTAAGAGTAGATACTACTCTTAAAGGCCTCCTAGAAGATTAATTTCACATTCACTTTGTTGACAAGGTTAAATGAGATACTGACTTCACTAAAGGCTAGAACTTGGATCTTGGAAGACCCAGGTGCTTCAGACTGGACTTTTGCTTTCTAATTGTTTTTGTTAGGCACTAAAGTGGGCCAACCTTAAATGGAGAGGCAACTGTTTTAACAAGGACTAGAGAGAACTTTCCCATGATGGGCCCAGAGGGATGGTGCAGTTTATAACACAGGCCAAGCAACTATAGATTGCTGCAAACATTTCTCTAACTCTTCATGATTACATGCATTGTGTGCTAATTTATGTAATCTGTACATCCTTATTCCCGTTTTGTCTTTTCTTGTCTGGCCTTGGTTCTCTCCCCTTTTCCTGAACGGAAATCTCCAAAACAGAAATGGCCAGATTAAATTGTAGAGTGCCGAGGAACAAAATCATTAAAAAAGGCTCAGTGGGGACTTAAGGCATGGTTCCAAGACCCTCAGAAGGGCTGCATGTAGCTTTATTGACTAGTGGCAGTGTAGTTTGGATCTTTGTGAAGGCTGCAAATTTGGGAAAGAGTGGTAACACTGGATATCATAGATGACTTCATTTGCAGTCTTGGTTTCTGGAGAGCCTGTCATATCTTTTGTGTGGGATTCTTTGGTTGAGGGTAGGGCTTCATCCAATAACATGGTTGTCTTGGAGGACTCTGAGCAAGTAAGGGCTAGACAGCACCTGCTGCTGATTTGCACGTGACCCTCCAGGGCTACTGAGGGAAACTCTGCTGTTTGGGTCTCATGTTCTTCCATATGTTGGAGATTTCTAATAAAAGGCAGTGTGTAGTCATGTTTGTTTTTCTACCAGGTATTAAGAAATGAAACCTGATCCAGAATGTCTGCAGTTGAGCCATCTTTAAAACTCATTCCAAAGCTGGAAATGTAGCTCAGTGGGAGAGTGCTTGTCTAGTATGTGCAAGGCTGTGTTCAACCCACGAGACTGCAAAAACAGCAACAAACACATCAATCCAGTGTGGTGGTTGGATTGTAGGTTCAATTTTGTGGACTCCCTTTAACTGGACATTATTTGAAGGCAGACGATCAGTATAGACACCTACTACTCAAGCTAGATTGATAATTGTTATCATCTGCAATTGACCAGTTACTGCAGAACCCATTCCGTACATGTTTCAGTAAGCTTGATTAACCCTACCAAACAGCTGCTGTAGGCTGTTGTGTTTTGACAGGAGATTATGCATTTTAGGAAAATTAGAAGACAACTAGACAACTGTGGAATCAGTCTGGACTCTGTGGCTACGGAAAATTCTTTCCTATTAAAACAGCTCATCAATGCTGGATAGCAGCAGAGGGTCATATCCATGAAGACACTCTCTGTGTTGAGTGAGGATGTGCCAGTGGAGCTTGGCAAGGGTAACCCTAAGTTCAGGACTATTCAGGGAAAGGTGGGCCGACTGACTTAGCACCATCTAGTGACTGTCTGTTCCTTAGTTACCTTAGATGCTCTTCAGACAGTCCTCAAATTAGAAACTTGAGATGTCAGTAGAATCCCTGGCAGTGAATATCATCAGTAACAAAGTGCTATAGAGGTGTGGCTTGTCACATACATACTCTAAAGGCCTCATGGGATGTGGGCACGAAAGGATTGGTGTGTACCTAGGTCTGTTGGAGGTGGCAAAGGTCAAAGCAAGCAGAGTTGCCATGCAGATTTCCCTGCCTTTGACCAGTCTGTACCACTGCATCCTGGTTCCCATTCACCACACTGGGCTTTGCTTTGAATCACCTTACAAGTCACTGAATCCATAATTGCTTTAAATGCTTAGAGTGAATGAGATATTTTCTTTTCCTCCCTCCTTCCCTCCCATCTCCCTTATCTTCCCTCCCTCCCTCTCAAAGACTAATTTATGAATTCCTGGCAAAATCAGATAGCTAGTTGGATACTTTCTCATTGCACACGACTAAGGTAGGGTTTGGAAATCATGATCCAGTGTTCTCCTAGGCCACCCTAGATTAGTCTGCTACTGGGAAGTACCAAACGTAGCTATTCATCTTAAGCTGAATTTTCCTTAATGTTGTATTTCCTATATGTTGCAGCTAAATAGCATGTTTCCTGCAGGCAGTTGCTGCAGGCTTTCTGTGGTACTATTTCTGTGTATATTACCATGTTCACAGTATTGCTTGCTTTGGTTTTGGTTTGTATGTTTGTCTTCTCACAAGAGTGGGGATGGTGTAGAAATGGGAACTGCTTCAATAGTTTAAGGTGCTCATTAGCCATCTGGAGTGCCCATTATTAAGGCTATGGATTTGTGACCAAACCACTTTCTTCATCACGATTTAGGCTCAAAATGGCAATGTTGTGTTCATTTTCAAACTGTTAAAACTAAATTGGCCAGAGTACTTACGGGAACAATCAGTGAGACAGGTTTAAAGTGGGAATGGCATGGCATTGAGCCTCGTAAGGTATAATCTTTCATCTTCAGTCTTTTCTTAAATCAACTCAGGAAGTCCATTATGTTTTATGTTGGAGAGATCTGAAAACTGGGTCTAAATATAGACTTTTTGTCTTACTGAGCTATGAAAAGTTTAAATTTGGTTTTTCACAATATAGCATTCAGTAGAGAACTTGTATCTTGTCCTAATTTCAGTCTGTCAAGAAAATGTGAATATATTTTTATGGCCAGTTTTCATTTACTGAACTGTACTTTAAAGGTCAGGCTCAAGCAGTTTTACAAATGAGTACTTTTCTTTCATAACTTGGACAATGTTTGGTTTTTTTTTTTTTTTTTACCATTTTACCTCCAAGCAGTGCATTATTCTCCCATTCCAAATGATGCGTGGGAGGATTTTCTTCACCTTGTTCTCTTTTTACACTTCCTAGTTAATATTTCACACCAGTTAAGGATGTCCATCAGAGCTTGAACAGCTTCTATGGAAGAATCAGGGAAGTGGTCATTTGATTTTTACTCTTTAGGATTTTATTTATTGATCAGTTGTTGATGCATAGAAATACAGACAATGGCTTTCATTAACCTTCACCTTAAATATGGTATTCTAGGATTATAAGAATGTCACTTAAGAAACAGTGAAACTTGGAAAAGGGTTTCTTGTTCACTGTTAATTATTTAATGAATAATTAGCCTAATATATGAAAGGCTTGGTACCCTAGAATTTACTTTGTTCTATTAATTGCACATTTTAGATTGTTAAGCTTTGTTTGTTAACACCCTAGAGAATAGTTAGTAGTTTAGAAAATGTGTAGAACTGTCATCATTTTGTGCACCCCCCCCCACTTCAGTACTGAGAAAAGTATTAGGCTGAGGATTTGGATTACTTCTCATTGGGAAAAAACAATTGGAAGCTGGAATTGGTTATGACTTTCTTCAGAGGGGAAATTCTTGGATCATGTATACTTGTAATGCATCATCCACCACCCATGAGTATTTGTGTTCTCAGAAACAGAGCTGATCTAAGGTGGTGCTAAAAGAAATCTTTTGTGTCTAATCTCTTTAGCAGGAGGAGCAATCTCAGAACTGCTATGAAGACTTTGAAGATCTTCGTTCTTCCCCACTTTGCCATCAGGTGGCCTCTGGACAGTGTGGGCAGTCATTTGAGATAGACTTTAATTTAAAACAAAGGCCTGTGCCTCCCACCCAGGAGGTGGAAGGAGTGAATTTTATGTGTGAATGAAGAAGTGAATTATGGACGAAGAGCATACATCCTTTGCCTTCCCTTTCAAGCATAGTCCAAATAGGCTCTCAGGAATGAGGATTTATGAAGACATTGCATAGGAGATTTGACTCATTTAAACTTCTAACACTTGGTTGAGTTGCTGGAGAAAAGATAACCTACATTTTGCTCATCTAACCATTGAATCCAGCATCTTTGTGACATGTCATTTCCTGTCTCCTATTTGCCTTCTATCCTCAGTGCATGTCCTTGAGTGACTTGTCCTTATCCCAGGAAACCTTCTGTTGCATATTCTCTTTCTTTCATTTTTAAACTTCCCCTCTCCCAGATGCCTACTGTATTTTCATATTGTGTACAAAGGTTAGTCAGAAAAGAAAGTGCTTGAAAGATTTCAAATTTGCAGGAAAGGCAGAAAGATAAGAAGGCCCCTCTTCCTATCACACCACATTTTGCTCAAGAAGTTGGGCTCTAAGGATTCAGGGTTTTTCCTTGCATTGCATGTTTTCTTCCAATATTGGTTCAGTCTTATTAATCATGGTGTTTGAAGATAATTAGTTTTATGCATTTCCAGCAAAGAATCATCAGTAGTTTCTATTACTTTATCTGTGCTGGCTTCCAGAGTTGGAAACAAACCAAGGTGTTTTCCCACAAGCTTCTTTTTTTTGTGGGGGTACCTATGTGAGGACTGAAGTGAAACCTCCAAAATCAAAGCAGCAGAACTTCATTCAAATCAAAGATCAAGGTACATTATTTTTATCATTGCCGGTGGAAACCTGTTCCCAGCAGCCATTGCATTTTTTCCCTTCTCATAGCCAGGCTCCTTTTCTTCACTGTGTTTTCAGTCCCTTCCTTTCTGTGAAAGGTTGCTAGCTTTTTTTTTTCTTTTTCCTTTTTTCCCTTTCTTTGTTTTTGAGTTTACTCTTCTTTAAATAAAAAATATCAGATTGGATGGATGTGTACATTAAGTGTTTGAAAGTTTCTGAAAATTCAAAGTCAGGAAACCAGGTATGGAAAGGGCTTAGTAACCTCTCTCTGAGTAGAGCTGTTAGCTGACCAGAAGTGCTTACTTACCCTGTATCATAGTTTCTCAGTGCTTTCAAAGGAGAGTTTAAATAGTATGCTGATTGCAAAATCTCTTGTCAGTTGGTAATGCTCCTTTAGGTAGCCAAACACTTTGATTACTTTTCAAATTGTAGGAAAGAAATCAAAGAACATCAGGAAGAGCCTCTTTCTCCCAGCCTGTCCTTGAGAGCATATATATTTTCCCTCTAGAAGTTGGAGAAAGAGCTCTTTCTGAGTCAGTTGCAAAATGTCTGTTTCAGTTGCCACCGCCCCTTCCTCAAGTGCTCATTTTATGAATTTCATGTGAGTTAGACCAATGGTTTCGATTGGTAGGTGGCTCACAGTCATGTTTTTGTTTTGCAGACATACTCATTCCAGGTCTCTCTGCACTGCATGCACACAGCAGTAATGTGCAAGCTGTGATATGAGGGTTTTGCCTTATTTCCATGTGTGAGGTGGCTTGCTTCCCTCCACCCGTGCATCTTGATGCCTGTGCTATGTTCACTTCCTCAACTGGCTACTGAGAAGAATAACTTAAGCCCTGTCAGATTGTCTCTGGCAGCAGCTCCTAATAATTGTTTAGGCTTTTGGAATTATTTTTTCAACTCCTAAAACCTTCTACCCACTTCAGTTTGAATTTCTCAATTTGTGTAATATATGTATATTCTTGTCTTCCCTTTTGCCATCTTCTCCTTGTCCACTATTTTGTTTTTTAAAATGTTCCGTAGTTTTGTACAAGATGAGACTTAGCCTTGGGTACTTCTTGCTGAAGCTTTAATGCTTTGTAAATAAAATTGGATGTTTATTAAACAACAGTGTAGGCATTTGTTTGTAAATACTGATTACTTCTGGAACTCACCAGCCATTTTGGTTTTTTTTTTTTTCTTTTTTTTTTTGTGGAGCTGGGGTTTGAACTCAGGAGCTTTCACTTGCTAGGCAGGTGCTCTACCACTTGAGCCACGCCTCCAGTCTGTTTTTTTTTTTTTTTTTTCTGTACAACAGAAAATGCACTGTGTTAATGTTGGATCTTTCCATATGAACCTACAGGGCTGGAACGGGGGGTTAAGGATTGTCAGCCCAGAATTCTGCCTTTAGACAAACTGTATAGAAATAATTCAACCCAAAAGTTGGTATTAATGGAAAAGATTATCTAGGCACGATCACTCGAGATTTTTTTTTTTTATGGGATTGGGTTTTGAACTCAGGACCTCACACTTGCAAAGCAGATAGGTCTACCACTTAAGCTACATCTCCAGTCCATTTTGTTCTGGTTATTTTGGAGATGGGGGTCTTATGAACTATTTGAACTCTTTGCCTGGGCTGGCCTCAAACCATGATAATCTCAGCCTCCAAAGTAGCTTAGATTACAGGCATGAGTCACCAGTGTCTGGCATTCTTCAGATTTTTTAATGCAGTATGAATTTTTGAAATTACTGTAAAAGGCCATAGTGGTAGACATTCTGGAAGTTACAAAAATGCATGACAGTTGGGTTCCAGCCTTCCAAAGATCTTTCTTCATTGCAGTACAGTTGAATTTCTCTTTTGTAGTCTTTCCCCCAGATTAAATAGCTTTAGAATCCACTAAATACTCATTTTCTCCGAGAGAAACAAGGAGAGAACATCTCTCCTACAGAACAAGATGTTTCACAAAATCTGCTGGTCTGATTGTAATGAATGCCACATCTGGGTGTCTACTTATTATTTTGTCATGTGACTGAGAACCCATCTTTGACATCATAGCCGTTTCATAGCAACCTTCATCGGCCTAAGCAAACAGCGAGCTCCTCTGTTCTATTGGGTAAAGGGAACGGGTGGAGAGTTGGCTGCATCTTATATCCTCCCACTCAGCCAACATCTTGTTGGGTCCCTTTGGGAAAAGGGAGGACCTGCCATAGGGAGAGGAGCTGCCTCTGACAGCCTCACTGGCTCAGTGAAAGGGCATCTTGACCCTGTATTCATGGATTATCATTCCTCTTTCAAATTCCTTACACACCAAAAGTGTTTCACACTTTTCAGAGTTTTCAGATATACTGTATTATTTGATGCTCAAAGTGACCTTCCTGAAATAGGAAGATCTTCATTCACAAAAAAGGAAGTAGAAATTTTGAAAGGGTAAGTTACTTGCCTGCCAGATCAGAGTTGACAGTCCTTTCTATAGAAGGTTTAGGAACATTCATAAGAAGTAAGTCAAGGTATTGAACTTGAACTTTTTTTTTTTTTTTAAGACTTTAGTATTTGTTTTCTTATTTAGTCAAATTTGGGAGTTTGGAACCCTTAATTTAAGTCTCACAATTTGGAGAGGAGGAGAGGAATGTAACTTCAGCGTGGATTTGGAGTAATTAGGAAATTCATTTCAGTTTCCAAAGTCTTTGTCTAAGAAAGCTGTGGATTTAAATTCACTAAGAGCATAAGAAGAGTTCAGACTGGTAAGGTGGGCATAGACAGTAAATCAACAGTAACATTGTGATTTTTTTCTGCCTTGTGGCCTCACCCGTGAATAAGGATTGGAACCTCTGCATTTGCTTGCATTGTTTTGTTGTCAGTGCATGCACTGTATCTCGACTTCAAAGGCTATTCCATGTTGAAGGATTAAGCTGTGATACTGTAGAGGATTTGTCTGGAATACGTGCGGTGCTGGCCGAGGGTGATGAAATACCTACTAAGACCATGAAGGTTTTGGCCACTAGTTTCATCCTTGGGAGCCTGGTGTTGGCCATCTACCTGCCTCTGGTGGTGACTTCATCTAAAACACTGGCCATCCCCAAGAAATTGCAAGAAGCTGTGGGAGAAGTTATTGTCAATGCTACAACTTGTACTGTCACCTGTGGCCTTGGTTATAAGGAGGAGACCATCTGTGAGGTGGGCCCTGATGGGGTGAGGAGGAAGTGTAAGTCCCAGCGCTTGGAGTGTCTGACCAACTGGATCTGTGGAATGCACCATTTCACCATTCTTGTTGGGGAGGAATTTGAGCTTAGCTGTCTGAGTTCAGACATCCTAGAGATCGGGCAGGAAGCTTTCCGCTTCACCTGGAGACTCGCGCGGGGTATCATCTCGATTAACGATGAGGTCTTCAAACCCTTCCGAGCCAACTCCTACTTTATAAGATTTAAACCTGCTCAGGAGTATGACTGTGGGACATACCGCTGTGACGTACAGCTGTTAAAAAACTTACGACTTGTCAAGAGGGTCTATTTTGGGCTGAGAGTCCTTCCTCCGCAATTGGTGAACCTGAATTTCCAGCAGTCCCTAACTGAGGATCAGAAGTTACTAGATGAGGGCTTGGAAGTTAATCTGGATAACCATTCCAAGCCTTACCACCCAAAGTGGCAAAAAAAGGTAGCCTCAGCCGTGGCCGTAGGCATTGCCATTGGAATGGTTGGTGGCGTGTTGGTGAGCATTGCTCTCTGCAATGTGCTGAGGGGGATCTCTAGCAATGACAGCCTCAAGAGCTTACGAGCCTTGTTCCTGGGGAACTGGCTGCCCAGGAAACCAAGCTTTCTTTTTAGGAGAGTGTTCTGGCTGCCGGATAGTGGACTGGCTGAGAAGAAGGGCTCCCATGCCCAAAAGGCTGGGTGAGGGATGTGCAAGGATCTCCAGCTTCCTCATGTCCCAGATGGATCTCCCTGCCAGCAGGTACTCAGGAATCTGACTTGCAGCCATCATTCCTCTCCTGGGAAGAGTTCTGTCTCCCAAGCTTGCATTCATTTTTCTAGTTTTTACAACTCATACGCCTCACACCTCCGTCTCCTCTCTTCTGAGCAGTGTATTCATGGAGGAGAATGTAAACTAGCTGGTTTAGTGAAAACTTCTTTCCCTTCTTCAATAAAAAATAATTCACAGTAACTGTATGGAATCCTATCCTTTTCCTTTCTTTCTCTTTAAACTTTCTTGTATTTTGTCTCGATTGTCCCATAGTCAGCCTGGCTTTCATTTTCCTTGGGTTTTTAGAATAGACATCGAACAAATTGCTTTGTTTGGAGCATATGCCCATGTGATAGAGGTTGTTAGTGACACCTGACTCAGATGTGTAATAGACAGTCACTAAATGTAAATAGATTATCTGTCCTCCCCAGGTGAAACTTCTTTGTTCAGTGTTAAATTGAATTTCCTGGCAAAACATGAGGTCCTGTGTCTGATCATTGCAGTTCCTTGCCTTACTCCCTGCTACTTCCCTTTTCACTCTTCCAGTGTCCTGAAGTTCCTGTACCTGGAAAAGTCAAGTGTATTGGTTTCTTACAGCAGCCAAGACTCCCAAGAGAGGACTAGGACCTTCATTCCTCCATAGGAAAGCCAGTCTCAGACCCTCAGGGACCATTCAGACTGTCTGAAGTAACTGGCTTATGCCACCACCAGGGAAAAAGGCTCTTGGTTGTCAGCTGAGCTGAGTCAATTGAGAGAATCGCAATATTTCTTCCCTTACCTTTCCTGCTACAGGAATAGCAGAAACAAAGACCAGTGGTTCTCTCCTCTGGCCATGTGGCAGAATCACCTGGATGACTAAAAACTAAAGATACCTGAGCCCCAGCCCAAGGATGCTAATTCAGTTTAAATTATGCCCCAAAGACCTTTATTTTTAACTTAAATAAAATTTTCAAACACAGAGAAATGTTGAAAGGTTTAGTGACCATCCATAGACCCTTTGTCTGGATTCATCAGTTGTTAACCTTTTGTCACAATTATCTCTCTAAAATATATATTGATTTTGCCATGCCATTTGAGAGCTAGTCACTAACATTGTGACCGTATATTTTTAAATCAGGTATGCAGCGCCTAATAAATACATTTTCCTGCATAACCACAGTGCCTTTGTCATATCACACCTAGGAAAATTAACACTCCCCAGTCTTACATATAGCTTCTCTTCAGCTTTCCCAATTTTCAAAATCTTAAAGCTTTTTAAATTTAATTTCTGATCCAGCATCAAATAAAGGTTCATGTTCAATTATTTTCGCTTAAGTCTCTTAATTTTCATCATATCCCCTGTAGTTTGTTTCTCATGATGTTGGATTTTATTGAAGAGCCTGGCTAGTCCAGTTGTTTTGGATGATGTGCTACAGTCTGGATTTGTTAATTTCTCATGATTGGATTCACGAAGAGTGAATTCATTTTTGACAAGTACATAGATATGATCTTACTGTATCATACCAGGAGACTCATTTTAGATTGAGCAACTATTGGAGAAAATAAGCTACATAGATGGAGATAGTGAGTACAATGCATCTTTTTTTTTTTTTCAAAGTTTCATAGCTCTGGTGCATAGATAAGCAAGAACCACCAGCCTAGGCATGTGTACTGGGGGTCATCTTTACTGTTGCTGTTATTTTGCAAAGATCTTACATTTTCTGCACACCTTTATCCCCATTCCATCCACCTCAGATGGGAAGGATTTCTATGTAATAGAGCAAGTTCACTGACCCTCTATAAGCCTCATCTTTGAAACAGGTGTTTGTGAGGGCCCAGTGAGATCTTATGAGGTAAACTGCTTTACAAATGGCAAGTACTAGAGTTTGGGTATGTCACTGATAATGCTGTTTAGCCCAATACCAAATAGTTTGCAGAAGCATTCAGGAGACAGCTTGCTAAACTTTAAAGGTGATGATGAAACAGCCTCTTACTTTGTATGTAATGCACTCAGTGTACATTGTTGAGGGGCATTGCTTCCATCAGGAGAGACTGAGACCCCAAAAGGGCTATATAACTTTTCTAGCATTCTGTTGCAAGTGGGATGGACACAGCTTTTGGTTTATAACCTGCTATACTTTGACCTCTTGAATTTTGACTCAGGGTATAAAGTCACCAGATACGTTAGATTCAGATGAGTTAGTAGAGACAAAAACTTGGCTCAGTTCATAGAGTTCTCTGCATGTATTCTGCCTCTGGAGGTTCAAGGAGAGGCTGACTGAAGTTTGGACTTCAGAATGGCCAGCACTCCCAACGTCCCCCCTTGGGTACCAAGTAGAAGAGAGGCCTCTGTTGCAGTGTCATACTGTTGTCTGTGTGGGCCCCTTCTCAAGCTGAACAGCCCCCACGCAGAGAGCTAAGCACAGAGTAGAGGGTCTTCCACTCACTGTCCTCTCTCCGTTCTTCAAACCGCTGTGGGACCAAGCATGAAGCCCTACTCACTTCACAGTGAAAAAACTCAAACTCAGGGTCATGTGAGTATATCCGTGCCTGATCACATTTGTGATATGAAAGAATGTTGGCTGGAAGCTGGTCGTTCTAACCCTTTGGGTGTTGTAAACAGAAAGTGGAAGTAGCAGCCAAGTCTGGGCCAGTTGGGGATCACTACTTTCTGTGGTCCCTTTGGGACCACTGACTCAGCACCTGTAAGTGCATTAAAAATCAGAAGTGGAAGCCGTTCCATCACACAGCACTGTTGCCTAGTATGGGTTAAGAAAAGCTGGCCCAGGCTGGCAAGATGCATGCTGTGCTTTGCTTCAACCTGGTTGCAAGTCTCCTGGCCTGTTTTCCCCCTCCTAGGACTGAACAAAGCAGTATGGACTATACACTGAAACCCCCTTAGAGTTGACGGTGTGAAGGGCAGAAGCACTGGAGAGAAGCCTCTAGAGTCACAGAACAGATCAGGGAGGTGTGCTTCAGCCAGGGGGTAAGAACAGCCACAGCTGCTGCAGCCACCTCAGCAGATTGAGAAATCATCTTTATTTAAGAACTGCCTGCTACCAGAGTCAATAAATAACTACTGTTACAAGTACAAGAGCAAAAACAGTGGGCTGTTGGGGGTGGCTTCATTTGGACAAGGACTGTCAAGTCGGTGGTCTGACAAAGCCCTAGCATTTGCAGAGCTCTGAGCAGGGTAGGCCCTAAAGTGGTGCTAAGATGGAGGCCTCTTGGGCCAAGACTGGATGGATCCTATTGAAGGGCACAAACTGCCTTAGGCCCTGAGGCTGCCTGGGGCTCCAGGCAAAGCTGTCTGACCCATTTTGTTCCTTTTCATTTTCTTCTATTGTCCTGCTTTCCAGAGCCTAAGACCACAGATAAAAGTTCATGAGCTGCTCCCCAGCTACCAGACACCTATTTCCTTGGAGCTCTTTGAAGTCCCTTGGAAAAATGCCCATCTGGTCCCACTTACACTCCTCCAGGAGCCTCTTAGGCCCTGGTTCACGCTGAACTAGGGAGACGGCACCACACCTGTGCCAGTGACAGATGTGAGGCCATTGCTCTCCCTCTGACATGCAGGAGTTATGTTGGCAGTCTCAGTTTGACCAGGAGGAGAAAAGATGCCTCTGTTGCTGGGGAAGGGAAAAGGGAAGTAAACTGATCTCAGCCACATTGATCTTGTGAGTGCAGGCTGAATGACTCTTGGGAGTACTGAGGGGCAGTGCCCACTGGGAAAGGCACTGGGCTGTAAGCACAATTCCTGGGATGAGCCTTCCATTTTCCTGGCCTCCTCTAAGATGCAGGGACCACAGCAGATGGTGTCCCTAAGACTTTTCCTGTGCAGAACACCTGAGCTCTAGAAGAACTTTCAGCATTTCCCACCCCTCAAGTCTCTTTACTGATCTAAACACCACTCCAACATTGTCAAAATTCTTCCAAATTCCTTTGAAAGAAGCTGCTTTCTCCAACTTTTTCTGCTGTCTTAACTTTAGCCTCTCCTGTTGTGACTTTATCAAAACAAAAAGAACCCCCAAGCCCTCCCCCATAGCCTGGCTACTCCCTGTTACCATCTCTATCATTTGCTGCTCTAAATGGAAGTAGAGGCTGACCGTGAAGAGTCTGGACCCCATGTGGAGAGAGCTTTCCTCTCCTCTTTTCCCTCAGTACACTGTCAGAGCAACAAGGACCCAGCACTATAGCCTGAGAACAGCGCAGACATATCTGCAGACTGTCTCTGTACTTAGTCCTCATTGCCAGGCCACTAAGCTATAAGGCAGGAAGGGACTCAGAAATCATCTAATCCAAGCAAGCTCACATCCAAGGCACCCGAGCCGTACCATTTTACACCCTCACACGTTCTCAGGTCACCTACTGTCTTATTAAACCTTAATCAGCGCTTTACCTGAAACCTCTGGCTGCAGGAGCACCTTCCCCTTAACATAGTTCTGTATCCATCCAAACATTGCGCCTGTCAGTGGTTAGGTTGGGATTTCTCATACCGGGTCTCCCAGTAGGTTGCCTTCCTCCCTTTCTCACGGACCTCGTTAGAAGTAAGGTACTTAGTCTCTATTCTCTAATGGCATAGAGGCTGCAGCCTCCCACTTCTTTGGCTAGGTCCTGTGCCAGTCCAGCTCATCCCCTGCCCAGCAGCTACACACCTGTCTCCCTACCTCCAGTGCAAGGCAGTAAGGAAAGAATCAGATAAACCTCGGGAGAACGGTTCTTTCAGCGGCTCCCTTCTGACACAGCCAGCGAAGGACAAGGAAAGATGCCAATTTTGGGGTCAATAAGGGACAATGGCCACATAGCTTGAATCCCTAGCACACTTGCATGAAGGGGAGGGGCCAAAAACAGGTAAGGAGGATGTGATCAGACATTCCCAGGGAAGCAGTCCTGGACTGGGGCTAAGTCAGTCTGGGGATGTCAGGGAAGAAGGTATGTGAGCTTACATTTTAAAAAAATTGTAGTGGATAAACATTAACACAAAACCTGCCCAGGAAAATAGAGCAGGACTTAAAAGTTTAAAAAACCATAACAAAATAGAGCTCTAGCTGTAAACTACAGAAAACAGGCTCTGGAAGCTGCAGGGGCACGTGCCCTTTGAGATACCTGTCCTGCAGCTCCTATAGGCAAAGGCCACCTGTCAGAGCATAGGCTTTGGGGTTTCCTGGTTGTGCTGCCACTGTTGCCTGGACTTAGGGACTCTGTCCTTGCTTTGGCCTCTTCTTGAAGTAAGGGTGAGGGGGAAGGGAGACTTCAAGCCAGCACTGCATGTTGAGTTCCCAGCAGAAGCCAGGCTCAGAAGCAAAGAAGGCTGGACATCTGGAACTGTCCATGCCCTGGGCTGGGCTCAGCCATGCATCTTCAGAATCGCCACCATGAACCCCTTGAAGCAGATGCTCAGCCCACACTGGCCTTAGTCATCTTAGTAACCAGCTGTAGCTGTTCAGCACTGCCTCCTTCCTCCACATGGACAGAACCTTGGAGAAGACTTGAATTCTTATCTCAGCCCTGTCATTTATGGACCGTGTGACCTTGGAAAGTCCCTGGTCCTCTCTAGACCTTCACTTTCTCATCTGTAAAATGCAGGGTGTGGACAAGTTGAAGTCTAAAGCCTCTTCCAGCTCTGGTGGTCTGTCTGTGACTGGTAATGTGCCCCGATCTTCAAGGCAGAAGGCCCCCTTTATTAACCCTTTTTTTCTTCTGGGGAATCAAGAGGGGGTCCAGGCAGTCTGGGGAGGAGGTGTGGCCAGGCCATCCAGGGTATTCCTGGAAGCAGGAAGGGCCATATTGGTGCTGGCCCTTCTCAGTAGCATCCCTAATTCCAGGACAAGAATGAACACTGCACTGAGGCCTGGCGTCAGAGGCCTGCAGGTGTGGGAGGCACAGACAGCTGTGGCTCTGCTGCAGAGCTGGAGGAAGACAGGGGCATATGGCTGACTGTCTCCTGCCCACACCCTGGAGGGGCCCTGCAGGGTGGGTCTTGATGGGGGGGGGACCTCCCCAAGACAAGCCCTTCAGTTACCCAGCCACCTGAAGTGGCTCTGTCACTGGGAGTGACAGGGTTGCATTGGCAGTGTTGGCTGAGAGGGACATATCAACCTGGATGGTTACTGGGCCTGAGCTGGTGTCCCTTGCCAACCAGGTGTCCCAGCCTCTCAGCCTTTTGAGCTCTGACCTCCAGCAGCCCGGGCCTCAGGCTCCTGGACCCAGGCAGCAGAGTCTGGTTCTTAGCCATCCTGGCAGGTAGGGCCACTAGGGATTCATGGAAGTCAATGCCAAGTCCAGCTGTGCTACAACTCAAGCAGAGCACTAGGACAAGTATTGGTCCCAGGGTGTGCCCTCTCCTTAGTAGAGGGAGGCTGATGTTTCGTCCCACTTCTTCAGCCCAGCCCCTTCCTGCCTGTGTTCCTGCTGGGCCTAGGGCTCTGCTCTCAGGTGGCAGAGTGCACACATGGTCCCAGAGTGTCAGTTCTGCAGATGTGAAGATACATATTAAAACCCCTTCTTCTCATAGGCTTGTCCCTTCTGTCCAGGACCCCTAGGAGCCCAGGTATCAGGTTACGTATCAACATGAAAGTCACTGCCCATGCCTCTCCATTTAAAGAAAAAAAAATCCTTGCACGGTTCTATCCTGTGACAGAATACGAAATACCCTGCCTCCTACAAAAACGGTACTGATTAAAGTAGGTGTTTAAAACCGACCACACTCGGGCACAGTATTGGGGCCACCTTGGCATCAGGAGGTGGCTGGGGGCCAGCTGGCTGTGTCCTTTGGAGGTGGGTATCCAACTCTGGGGCGGGGGCAGCACCGAGATCAGAGCTCCAGGTAGCCTAGGAGAAGCAACATCACCGTGGAGTGGGAGAGCATGGGGCGGGAATGTGGGGCTGGCCGGGCTGCTGCGTTCTCCACCATCATGCTTGTGCCTGAAACCAGCAGCAGAAATGTGGGGCTGAGTCAGTGGGCTGGGGCCACCCAGTCCCACCCTCGCAAAAGGATCCTGACCTTTCCTAAAGAGACACAGATGGTGGGCCTTAAGTGCCTGTGACTGCTGGTGTTCTCAGTCCTACCCTACAGCATTAGTGTACTAATTATTAGTACTAGTACTAGTCTAGTCTCCTTCTGTAGCCCATCAAACACACACACCCACTTCCCTGGCCCTCAGGGAGATTTTCAGGGTGGGAAAGAGACAGTGGCAGGAGCACTACTCCGGCTCCCGCCTGCCTTTCCCTTTCCCCTTGGGGTCGAGGTTGGAGTTGACTTAGGTGGGAGTGATCCCTTCCCGAGGCACCTGAGTCAGCCTCGACACTCCAGGGGGATAAGGTCAGGGAGATGCAGTACCTCCATTCCTCACGATGTGGACTTCCGCTGGGATCCCGTCACCTCCGGGCCCTGTGGTCCGAATCTGCACCAGGGCGTGGCCAATGTCTTCAGGTACTGGGATTTCTATCCAGTTCTTGCTGGTGAGGTGGAGTGTGGGGGTTGGGTGTAAGTCATTCTGGTACAGCATCTGTGGGAAGAGTTCAGGGTGCACTTTCCTTACAGTTGGGTGGATCCTCTGTTTTGATCAGCTGTAAGCACTGGGAGGAGCCTCTACAGTTCCCAACCCTTGAAGTTTTGCCTCCTCACCCTTCCTCTGATTTCTCATTGGCCAAGCCAAAGGGAGGCAAGCGTGTGGGGAGACTCCTGAGGCTAGAAGGATTCCTTGCAGCCCGTTACTGCCTCTGAAGCCCTGCCTTTCCACAGCCATCCCATCTGTCCATGTTTTCTAGTCTCCACTGCAAGCCACAGTGCCTCAGGCCACAAACTCTTTGCTTCTGTCTTACTCAGATCTCTTTGTCAATGGGTGGAAGCCTTCCATGTTCACCGTAAAGTCAGAAGCCATTCCTCACCATTCCAGGCCTGGTGGGTCCCTCCCTTACCTTATAGCCAGTGATTACAGACTCATTTCGGAGAGGGACCACAGGGTCCCACTTAATGCTGAGACTGGAGCTCGAGAAGGTCCAGGAGATGTTGCCAGGAGGTCTCTGTGGTGCTGCCAGGGGAGGGAGAGTTGGAGAGACTTCCACATGGTACTCCAGCTTGTCCCTCACTCTTAGCCAGCCCCTTTCTGAATGTCTACCTGTACAGCAGTAACATCCAGAACATTCTGTCACCACTGCCTAAGAAACAAAGCCCTTGACATTTCAAAAATTGGAGAAGAGAGAGGCTCTTCAAAGGCCTCTACCTCTATGCTCGGTGGCTCTCCACCTTGCTTCGTCTAGCCCAGGGCGTGTGGCACGGCAAGTGTCTTATGATTGGAGTTTACCACTTAGTACACAATCTGCAGCCATAACGCACACCCCCACCTCGCCCCTGGTAGACAGACTCACGGGGTTTCGTGGTTGTGGCGTTGGCAGGAGGACTGGCAGGCCCAGTGCCTGCCCGGTTGTAGGCCCGCACAGTCACATGGTACTTGGTATTGGGGTGCAGGCCAGTGACCCGGGCAATGGTGTCCAGCCCTGCAGTCCTCACTCGGTCAGCAGCTGCCTCTTTGTCACCAGCTTTCCAGTAGCGTATCTGAAGAGGGCAGAATGTACTAGGGTTTGTGGCAAAGCCCAGGATATAAGGACTACCCTGGGCCTCTCCCCTACCACCATTTTCTGTTCCTCTCCTGCTCACTTTGGCTCTGTGACCCGGATGCTAGACCATGAGCACCCAGAGAGCAGGGACACGTGAATGTAAGTCCCTGAGTTTCTGGGTGCCCAGCAGAGTGCCTGGTCCAAGGCAGATGCTCAAAACATGGGCTAAATGTGGAGCAGGGGATAGAGGAGTGAGCAGGGGTGAGAAAGGCCCAGACAACAATGGCCTGCTTAGACCCAACCCATCTTGCTAAGTCAGGGTCTACCATGGGAAGAAGTGCACGTTTGTAAGTGCCAAGTAGCTCAGATCCCTAGCAAGCTTAAAATGGTTGCCCAGTAAATGTGACACCATTTCTTTTCTTTCCTGTTTTCTTCCCTTCCCCTGCCTCCCTCCCTCCTGCCCTCTTTCCCTTCCTTCTTTTTTTCTTTCTTTTCTTTTCTTTCTCTGTTTCTGACATGTTCTCACTATATAGCCCAGACTAGCCTTGAACTCACAATCCTGCTTCATCCTGTGCACTTGGATTACAGGTGTGGACAACCAGGCCTGATGGAAAGCCATTTGAATAGTAGTCATATTTAGACCTGCTAAATACTTTTCCAAATCAAGGGCTGAGTTTGGAATTACCTCTTCCCCATGGCATGTCTAACCTATTGTGCTAAAATCAGAGCTGTCCCTGCTGGAGTGAATGCACACCATCATGGGGAGGCCCAGCTTATAGGTTCTCCTTCCTTCTTTCCCTCCCTCTTCACCTGTCTGGCTGAGTCAGCAGTAGACCCAGGGTTCAGGCCAGAACTCTGCTGGGCCCAGAGTTCCCCGGAGACAGGAGGAGCAGGAGGTGCCTGAAGGGTCATGCAGAAGGGGATGATGGGCTCTGGCATGAAGGCAGATGGCTCCTCCTCCCCAGCCCCAACTCCCAGGCCAACTTCTTAGTATCCAAGACAGCTCAGGCCATGCATTGACTTCAAGACTGTAACTCTGGCTTCCCCAGTGGGTGTAAGCCATGGGATCTTTGTGAAGTTTGCATCTGCAGAGTTCCACAGACTGTGTGCTCCATTTGCCATGCCCATGACAGAGTGGTCTCAGCAGCAGTGACTAGTGAGCTGTCTAGGCTAGAGGTTCCTACCTAGCCATGAAGCCCCAGCCCCCTTCTTCTCCCCACCCCAGGTTGATGCTCACCTCATACCCCAGGAGGATACCATTCATGTCCTGATTCACCGGTTCCCAGGTCACATTCATCTCTGAGGATGATACTCCCTTGGCCCAGACCTTGGTCGGGGCCACCCTGGGCTCTGGGGACAGATACAGACTGAGTGTGGATTCCCTGTGTCTTACAGGACAGCCCTGGTCAAGGACTGTGTTTGCTTGGGTTTTGGAGGAGAGCCCAGGACCCAGGCCAAGTGGGAGTTCCCAGAGCATCCGGGCCCTGCTGCTCTTCCCAGAGGGGCTCCTTCCTCTGTCCCCACCCCAGGGGTTACAAGGTGGTCAAGGCCACAGTGGGGCCAGCGGCTGAACACACAGGTGTCCTCTCCACCTCCTACATGGAGTGGAGCAAGTGTGAGCAGCAGCCTCCCCGACCCACACCCCTGGGAGGCGCGCAGGGCTGGAACCCACGTGGACCCGGGCGGCCCACCTTCCTCCGCGGAGTACACGAGCGCCGTGAGGCTTCCGGCCCATCCCCACGGCGGTTGTAGCTGCGGATCTTGACCTCAAAGGGCGTGTAGGGCCGGATGCTGTCGTTGCTGTAGACGAAGTACTGCGCGTCGGCGCCGGGCACGCGCGCGGTCTGCCAGCCGGTGCTGCCCTGCCTGCGGAAGGACAGCAGGTAGCCGAAGCCATCTCCATTCTGGTACTCCCGTGACACGGGCTGAGGGCAAGAGCGTGGCGTGGGCCAGGGATCGCGGTCGCGTGTCCCTGCCCATCCTTTGGCTCCACCCCTGTCACCAGGAGGGGGTGACCTGGGACACAGGTGGCCGCCGATGTGGCCTCAGGCTGCAGCAGATGCGCGTGAGGGGCAGAGGGGCAAGAGGAGGGGATGGGGAAGGGCCACTGGTGGCTTTTGAGTCAGAACTGCGCAGTGGTCCTTTCTGCGCACTGCTCAAGCGGGGGAGGAGTCGGGAAGGGAGGAGGAAGGGGCAGGGCTGTCCCTCTCTCCAGAAGAGGAGGGGGAGGGGGGCATTTGTGCTCTGACCCTGCGGCTTACAGTCCAGTTGACGATGAGCTCTCCCGGGGCTCCGCCTCCTCCGCTGAGTCCTGAGGGTGCCACCGAGGGAGCTGTCAGGGGCCAAGGGATGGAGATGTGGCTCATTAATGGACAACCAGGGAACAAAGTGCCTGTAGAGCACCTTAGGATGGAGCCACCATTTCAAAGACATCCTGGTTTGTCCTCCAGCCCTTCTGCTATGGCTGGAGTTACTGATCAAGTCCCATCTCTGCTCATCTTCTAGCTGTGTTTCCCCAGGCAAGTTACTTAAGCTTCCTGGGCCTCCTTCTCCCCCTACCACGAAGATGGTAATGTCTCTCACAAAAGGCTGTAATGACAATGAAATGAAAGAGCAGATGTTCTCACATATAGGGGTCTCCACAAATGATCACCACCATCCTCATCCTCACTCCCGTTGGCTTCAACTAAATCCCAGAGACCAACTCTAGCTTGCTTTAAAAGAAGAGGAACAAACAGCACCAAAATGCAGTTAGTGCAAAAACCAAAAACAAAAACAAAAACCCATTTCTTTTGGGCTCTGGGGTATTTTATTACTATTTTCCTTTTTTTTTTTTTTTTTGGCAGATCTAATTTCCTAGTTGTCTTTAGTATTACAGAGGCTGATATTAAAACAAGGATGGATTTTATCAGTTCATGCAGCTTGGCTGGGGGTCTAAATATCTCTGTAGAAGAATCCAGCACTTAAAGACTTCAGTTGGTTCTGATGATGGTATCTTCAGGCCTTTTACTTTGCCTACACATTTCCCATTTGATCCTGTGAAGTGGGCATTATAATTGCCTTTTTTAGGGGAAAACAACTGAGGCCCAGAGCAGTAAAGCAAGTTACTTAAGGTCACACAGCAAAAGTGTGGCGCAGCTAGAACTTGAACTCAGCTTTTGTGATTTTAGAGTTCGTCATCTTTCATTTGCATTGTAGTTAACTTTGTGCTCATCAGCTCTTGGAATACTAAAATAAAGGAGAACCCCTCTTCACTCCACATTGCCAAGGAGCTCAGAGTCAAAGAAAGTGCTTCCTCTGCCATTTCTTACTTAGGAGAGGCAGCAGCTAAAAATGTTGAGGAGCTGGGAACTGGTTGCTCGCACCTCTAACCCTGGCTACTTGGGAGGCTGAGATCAGGAGGACCAAGTTTCAAGGCCAGTCCAGGCAAATCGTTTTTGAGAACTCCATTTCAAAAACAACCAGAGTGAAATGGACTGGAGGTGTGGCTCAAGCAGTAGAGCACCTGCTTTGTGAGTGATTGCTTTGCAAGTGTGAAGCCCTGAGTTCAAACCCCCCGTCCCACCAAAAAAAGAAAAAAAATGTTGAATAACTTCAGAGAGCTTGGAACATGTAGGAGAACATGTTGAAGGGAGCCACATAGGCGACCCTGCGTACATATGTGTGCAGCAGAGCTGGGCAGGTGCAGGGTGGGAAGCAGGGTCCTCAATTCAGCCTGCCTGTCCCAGGCCCTCTCCTGGAATTAGCTCAGAGGTCAGTAGGAGCCTCTGGGCAGAGCTAGTGCCTGTACCTCTTCCAGCTTCTTTCCTCCTCCTTCCCCACTCAGAATCTGACACCCACACACTTTTCACTGAAGGGCATGGATAGAGTATTCCTCCTGCTCCAAAGAGAGCTTGGAGACACTGGTTCCTTCTCTAGCTCCCTGCACAACACACACACACACACACATTTTCCTCATTAGCTGATTTCTGCAGCTCATGTACATCCATAAGCTGGGTGGATGTCCAGGGTTCAAGGTTCTGGTCCTGAGTTCAAGTTCAGCCTCTGCCAGCATGACCCTTCCTCTCTCCAAACTTTAGTTTTTCCATTTAAAAATATTAAGCTTAAAAAATAATTATAGGTTCATATGTAGTTGTGGTTTACAAATGAGGGGGTTGGCTTAGGTGGCTTGCCTGTCCTAACTTGGTGTCTTTTCTCATGTGTTCTGTCAAAGCCTGGTGAGAAGGGCTGGAACTCTCCTAAGGCTGCTTACTGGGATCCCCATAAAGGCCCAGGGTCACCCCCTGCTGAGAGCTCTTTTTGGGATGCCCTAGTCCCTGACCTGCTTCCTTGGTCCGGATTCTGCTAGAGGGCCCACTGGGCTCCCCAGTGCCCAGGATATTGCTGGCTAGGACCCGGAACTGGTAGTCCATCCAAGGCGTGAGGCCCAGCACCTGAGCAGTCTCAGCGTTGCCCTCGACGTTTGCAGGATCTGCAAGGCCCCAGGGACATTGAGTTAGCATCTGTTCATTCGTTGGATGTAGAAGGTAAACACTGGGGCTATGTCCCTTCTTTGTGCCAGCCCTCATGTGGCACCCACCATATACTAAGCACTCAATTCTTTCAGAACTGATGGAGAAGCCTTTGCTAATGCTGTGTGTACCCCCACACCCCACAAATATTTTCATTGCTCCAGCAATGACCCTTCTAAGTCTTCAAGGCACAGACCAAGGTCCCTCCTCCTGAACTCTCCCCACTCTCCTGTCTCCCTGCATGCCTGGGGGCTCCCTGACGATCAAACTTAACCCTTTTTGAAGCTCCAGGCTCAGCCCTGGCCCTCCAACCCCTGGTCCCCCTCAACTGCACACAGCCAGGCCTTATCACCAAGTGTGGGCCCTCACACTTACTGGTTCGAACCTGCTTCCATTTCCCTGCAGGGGGAGTTCGAGCTTGCAGTGTGTACTTGGCAATGGGGCTGTGGTGGTCAAAGCCACGGCTCCAACTAAGCTGGACAGTGGTGTCACCAACGTCCCTCACCACCACACCTCCTGGAGGACCTGGCGGACCTGCACCAAGAGGCAGCGCCCACTGGGTCAGAATTGAGCAACTTCCAATTCGAGCCCACTTCCTCCAGGCCCAGGTTGGGTACCAAGAATGTGCAACCACACACCAGGGGGAGAGGGCAAAGGATGGGGCTGTTAAGTGGGGAAGGCCTCTTGTGTGGTGGGAGGGATGTGTCTCAGACTGGGGAGTCCATAGACACGGTGGCACAGAGGGGTGTAGATTCCCTAGCACTGAACTTGAAAACTGCTGGGCTCAGCAAAGTATTCTTGTCTTGGGATGTCCAAGGGCAGACGTCCCCCTCCTCCCCGCCAAACCCCACTAACACACCAACTCAGCTTTAGAAGAAAAATTTTCTACTCATTTAGGACCTCAAAAAACCATGCACATACAAAATGTATGTATCCTGCTCAGGGACTCCCACAGCCTTCAGGGCAGGGAGGGGAGGTAGGAAACCCATCACCTCGGACCAGGACCGTGGCCTCCTTTGATGCACCGTCCACCACTGTCTGGGCCATGCATGTGTACTTTCCTCCATGGCGCAGCTGGGCATTCAGGATAGTTAGGTCCCCAACAGTCTCCTTCTGCACATGGGGGACAGCCAGGGGCAAAGGATCAGAGGAAGTGGCCCTGACTAGTGCAGTGGGCCACAAGACACAGACTTATGTTTCGGGAGTCTCCTGCACCATGATGTTCGTGGGCCACTCTGCATCACAGTTTTCCTATCCAATGGCAGGAACCAGCTACACCTCACTTGATACCACTGGGGACTAAGCCACAAAGTGTGTTTCACAAGCCTCCTCTGGACAATGGCATTTGTGTTGGGGAGAAGAAGAGTGGCGGGTGGAGTCTCCTGGAGCACTGGGAATTCTGTTGTCTCCAGGTGGAATGCGTGTCTTAGGGTAGATTTAGGAAGGGTGGTCGTTGACCGAGAACTTGTGGGGTGAGAGCCTCAGGGGTGGGGAGGCCCTGGGGGGCTTGATGGGAGTGCAGGACACTGTGGGTCCCCTGTCCCTCTGAAATGGGGTGAGGAGTTACAGGGTCCTGGTTTCATGTCTCACCACACTGGCCCTCCGGTAGTGGCCCCCGGGCTTATCAAAGTCGATGGGAAAGTCATCCAGAGTCCAGGTGAAGGTGAGGTCCATGGTGGGGTCATGGGAGGCATGGCACTGAAGGGTCAGATTGTCACCCAAGTTGATGTCGGCACTTGAGGGTGCTAGAGTGATCTTGGTTGCATCTATGAAACAACAACAACAAAACAAGGCCCTGGGGTGGATGGGGGAGGGAAAAGGCCCATGTAGGAGCTGTGGGTCTCTGTCCTGAAATGCAGGAAAAAGAAGCAGCATGGGGACCAGCACAGGTCCCCGACCCCCTGATAGGCCCACGAGTGTGTGGCAGGTAGTGAGTGGGGTTGGATAGAGTGGGTGGGGCGGTACTGAGTGAAACGGAGTCCTGGGGTGGCCTCAGAACCCAAGGAGAAGCAGGATGGTGGGAGGGTGGCACCCCGGAGCTGAGCTGTGTGCCCTCACCAGACCACAGCCCTTACCGCGCACAGACAGGACGCCAGTGCTGTTGGCCTTGCCCACGAAATTCTCAGCAAAGCAGGTGTATTTGCCTTCATCGGAGCGACTGATATTTCTAATAATCAAGGTGCCATCCGGAGTCACGGTCACCCTGCAGCAAGGACAAGGCAGATGTGCCAATCTAGGCACATGCCATAGTCACGGGGAGGGGACTAGTCTCCAAGGAGGACATGCAGGAGCAGGAGTGGCTTGGGTGGGGCCCGCATGGTACCTGCTACTGTTGACCAAAATCTCCGTGCCTTTGCTCCAGAGCACTGTGGCCTTAGGAGCTGCCCGGGGCTGGCAGGGGATAGTGACCTCTCCCCCACGAGCCGCAGGGATCAGGCGCCTCACAGGGTTCTGCCTGAAGTCGGGGGCCAGTGCTGCAAGGAAAGGGGAGGGCCCCATGGTTACTCACAGAATAACAGCAGTTCCCATCACCCTGGATTAGGACATCACCTGCCTGTGTGCTAAGTACGTTCATAAGTTCTAAGACACCATTGTCACCAGGGCACACTCAGAGTCCCACCCCTTCTCTTCACCCTCCTGCCAACTCTGGATTCAAGGCACCAAATCTCCTGTCTAGACGGTGGGAAAACCCCTACCGGTCTTCCATTACTGTGTTTCCCTCCTATAGTCTTCAGTCAGCAACCAGGAATGCTTTTGAAAATATAAATCAGGGACCCAGAACTCAAAACAAGTTCCCTCCTGTCCTGCGTCACTCTCTTCCTCACTATGCTCCAAGCATTTGCTCTTTTTTCTCCTTTAATTCTTTGAAGTTTGCCAAGGCTTTTCTGCCTCAAAACCTTAGCATTTGCTGTAAATGTTGTCTGGAAGTTCCCTGCATGTGACACTCAGGTCACATTCCAAAGATGATTTCCTTAGAGAAGTCTTTCCTGACTATTTTAACTGGCTCGCCTCACCCCCATGGGTCTACTCAACTTCCCTTATGTTGTATTTGAAATTCGCTATTGGAGATTAGCTATCTGATTTTGTGTTCATCTCTCTCCCTCTACTAAACTGTAAGCTACTCGAGACTCGGTCTTTAGTGTTCATTCCATAGGAGGTGCTCAGTATGTATCAGGTTAAATGAATGAATGAATCTTAGTTAAGTCTCACTACAACTTAACGAGATAGGTATCTTTATGCCCATTTTACAGGTAAGGAAACTGAGGCTCTGATAGCTCAGATCACACAACTGAACACTAGCACTAGCTGACATTTCCTGGGCACCTGTCATAGGAAGGGCAGGCCCTTTATGGTTTTCCTGTCTCATCTCATTCCCTCTCAGAGCGGCAGTGTGGGGGCAGAACTACCCCACAGGCAGAGAAATTAAGTAACTTGCTGAAAGTCACACAGTTGAAGGTCCAGATTAAACACAGATCTGATCAATTTCATCTTCTATGCCTTTTGCCACCTTTTTCTTTCGCTGCAGCAAACATTTACTTTGCCCTTGCCAGAAATGGGATGGGTTTGAAATCCTGTGCTCTCAATCTGGTGTCTTACCTCCTTTCTTAAATCTGAGTCCTCCTCCTGAGGACCACTGGAAAGCCAAGGAAAACTGCCCGTGTCTGTGTATGTGCATGTGTGCCTATGTGTGCATACGTACATGTACCGGTGTGTGTGTGTGTGTGTGTGTGTATGTGTGCATACGTACATGTACCGGTGTGTGTGTGTGTGTGTGTGTGTGTGTGTGTGTGTGTGTAGACATGGAAACTCAGAACTCCTCCAGCCCCTACTTGTGTGTCTACAAGGGTGTCCCCTACATTCCTGGGTCCTTTACCTTGTACAGCCAGCTCGGCACTGGCATAGATGGTGCCATGCTTATTCTCTGCCACACACTGGTACATTCCAGAGTCATCCAGGCTCAATTTAGAGAACCGCAGATCCCCCGCCAACACCTCCACTCGGTTCTGTGCAGAAGAGTCAGCCCAGGGCAGGGCAGGAAGATCAGGTCATGGGGCTGAGAGGAACGGCTGGCATACTTTGGAGGCTCTAGGTTCATAGTCCCTTGGGACAGGACTCATGTCCGATCCTACCTCAGGTCTGCCTGGAATCTCAGGCCTCCCTGAAGCTGGATGGGTCAGGTTTCCCACTCAGGACCAATCCTTGTTTTGTGCCTGAGTTGTGCCAAGACCCAGGTTTCTGGGATTCTATCCAGTTGACCAGCCTGTTGGCTGTGTGACTCTGGGATGGGAAGAAGCACCCAGAACCACAGTCTGGCACATTGATTGCCCCAGCAGAGTAGAGGTGTGTAGGAGGAAACCCAGGTTTCCTACCTGGGAGGCCAGAGGCTCCCCATTCCGCAGCCAGTGCACCATGGGCCGGGGCTTGCCTGCAGCTGCACAGCCCCAACGCAGGTTGGAGCCAATGTCAGCCTCAGTGTCTGAGATCACTTTGAGCCACTCAGGCTGAGCTGGGGAGCAAGGGAGAGAAAACCTGGGATGAGCTGGGAGGAACCTCAGGCTCATTAAATGGGCTGGAATTTCATGAATGCAGTATTTATGACAGCCAGAAGAGGGTGCCATCTACACTATGGGACAGAGCGTCCAAAGGGGCAGGAAGAAGCAGGCAGAAGAAAGGTGTTGCTTTGTAGCTGAGCCCTTTCAGCACCTTGAATCGTGCTAAAGCTTTCTCTGTGCTTTCTGTATTCCCACATGAAGCTCCAAGCTGACCTCTCTGTTCCCATTCCCAGTGTAGCCAGGACCCGAGGGCTCAAGTGAGGGGCCTCCCAGTGTCCTCCTAGCATTTGGACTGCTTCCTCAGTCACAAGGGTGAGGGCAGGGGAGAAGGTGTCCCCAGCTCTGTACCCTGCACGATGATCCGGCCCTGAACAGTGTCTCGGCCCTTGGAGTTCTCCGCTTCACACTCATAGGTACCCTCGTCCTCAAAGCTCACACTGGGGATCTGCAGGGTGGGCTCCTCGGTGGCCCACTGGGGAGACAAGGTGCCATCCACTTTGCGCCACTTGATCTTGGGGACAGGGCTGGCAGGGGAGACAACAAAGCCAGAGGGGGTTGACTGAGCTGGGCATACTTTTGTACCCACACCACCTCATACCCAGGCCCCCAAGTCCTCCTGAGTTGCTAGGCAGGGGTAAAGGGACTCTGGACCTGGGAGGGGACAGAGGGAGAACACGTACCTGTGGACCTGCTTTCTCCCAGGTAGGCTTAGAGCACAGGCAGGGAAGGGACAAGAAGCAGGGCTCCTTAACCCCTATCCCCTGCATAGGTATGAAGCCAGTGAAGTTAGTTTCCATATGGTCTGTACCCCAAGGCTGGCTTGCCCTCCCACTGCACTGATAAGCAGTGGCCTGTGACCTGGGTCTTTATGGGTCTCCTTTCCCATGGTGACAGACCCCACTTTTCTAAGACACTTTAAGTTACTAGCAATCTGTGTCCTAGAACAGACTGAGGAGTTAGTGAGACGTATAGGTCCTGTATGTTACCCCCCCATGAGTTTTCCATGTGCATTTTCTGACCTAGACCCTGGTCCTGAGCCCAGGAGCTGCTCCTCTCAATAACATCACAACAACGTTTACTGACTTTCCACAAAGCAGTGGCCCAGGAGACATTTGAGGGAAGAGGAGACCAGAGTTCAAATCCCGTTCTTTCATTCATTCTACAAGCATCTACTGAGCTCTTGCTATTGTTTAGCCTTGCTCCAGTGAGCTTTTTCTGAGAGAGCAAGAAAGATAACACTTTCTCTTGTGTTTTTGTAACATTCGTAGAACATCTGCTAAATGCCAGACACTGTTCTAAGGGCTTAAGGGCTCTAACATCTTATGAGGTAAGCATTATTATTCTCGCTATTTACCAATAAGGAAACTGAGGCTCAGAGAGGTTAGGTAGTTTACCCACAGTCTCCCAACCAGTGAGTGGCAGAGCTGGGATTTGAACCAGGAAGGCTGGGCTAGAATCTGCACACTGTGCTCCTGCCTCCAGCCCCAGGTGTCCCTCAAGCTGCCTCCGCCTGCCAGGTATTGCACTGTGGGCAAGACCAAGCGATCCAATACGCGTAAGGCACGTTGGTGGAGATTTCATGCCCAGTGGGTGGTGGTCAATGTCCACTGAGTGCTAGCACTCTGTCAGACTCTGTAAGGGGCACCAAGATGATCGAGCATTGAGGTCCTTGCCCACCTCACCCTGGGGGGCTCTGAGAGACTGTGCCTGGCCCTAGGGAGCTCTGTACCTCTTGCACTACTCACTTCCCAAAGGCGAAGCACTCCAGGGTGACCTGCTGCCCCACTAGCGCGTAGGTCTCTGAGGGGAACCGTGCCTTGATGCTGGGTGCAAAGAGCCGGGGATCTGGGAAGAGAGGGGTTATGCAAATCACATGCAAATGACCCTGGGGAGGTGCTCCTATGCTTAGGATCCAGGTCCAGCAGCTGGGTGGAGTCTCAGAGACTCCTTTTCCCCCTTGGGGGCCTGAGGCAAGGGTCTGAGGCCTTGAAGCTAGAGGGCCGGGGCTCCAGACCCTCCATCCTGTACTTCATGAGCTGCTCTTCTCAGTCTCCAAGAGAAACCCATTTTCCCAAAGCTACTGGCCTTCTCGGCTTCCTCTCCCACCACGCCCTGATCCTGACCTTCAGCAGCCAGGTTGAGCTGTGCGAACTTGCTGAAGACGCTCTTGGTGGAGAAGTCCATGTGGCTGGTGGCCAAACAAGAATAGTTGCCCAGGTCTGAAGCATTGGTCCGGGCAATGTACAGGTTCCCTGTGGTCTGGGACACGAAGTGACGCCCATCCGTTGGGATGAAGTTGGGGAATTCGTTGAGGAGCCAGCGGTAGGACAAGCCTAGGATGGGGGAGTTTGAGGAAACCAGGGGGTGTTGGGTTCACAGGCCAGCTGGGTGGGACCCCAACATGTTGGTGGGAATCTGTATACTCTGCCCTGAGAGCCACCCATGCTCTGAACTGGAGCTGAGGGGACACCTAGAGGAAAGATGTGACTTTAGCTCTGTCCTAGGTGCTAGGTGCTGGGGAACACACCTTCAGGGATAGCCGGAAACACAGAGTCATTTAAAGTTGGCGACCCAGGATCATTACTTCCAAGGGTCACTTGGCACATCTTATTCCATCCTTCCTCTGCTGAGCATCCAGAAGCCCTTCCTATGCCCCCCACTCACCTGGGTAGTGGGCAGGTGGGTTACAGGGCAGCATCACTCCCCAGCCTTCGTGGGTTTTCACGGGGTCTCGCTCCTCCTTGGAGAATTCCTGCAGAACTAGAGGTGGATATGGGGGCTCAGACACTGGTCCTGCAAGCCTTCGGGCTCCTCCCCAGCTGTCCTCCTTGGGGAGAAAGCAGCCCACCAGGGCATGCCATGTGAGGGCAGCAAGCCTGGCTTGAGCGTGGCATCTGTCCTTTCTGAGCAACATTTCCTGACACCCTCTTCCCCAACTCCTAGTGTTTTGGTCTCACAGCCAAAGCGGAGGACAGCCTCCCTGCTGACGACAGTCCCCACTGGGTTTGAAGCCAAGCACTGGTAGACACCGGCATCCTGGGCCTTGGTGGGGCTGGAGATGACCAGGTTGCCGCCCACCAGCTGGTGACGGGACCCAGGTTCTAGCTTCATCTCAGTGCCATTCATTTTCCACCTGCAATAGGGGACAGAGGAAGGGACCTCAGTTCTTTCTGGGGCAGGGCTTAATGTGAGGGCCTCCCAGGACATCCCAGTGCCCCTGTGGGGGCCTCACCTGTAGGTGGCTGGAGGGCTGGCCCTGGCACGACACACCAGTGTCACCTGCTCCTCTGTGGACTCCTCTGGGAATAGGAGGCCAAGGGGCTGGTCTTCAAAGACAGGCCCGAAGGTGGCTGGGGATCCCCAGGCGGAACTCCAAGCTGCAGTTGGGGACAGCACCAAGAGGCCTCAGGGACAGAGGTTGTTTGGAGCCTGGCCTCTAGGGGGGTGCTGTTCAGCAGGGCTTCCTGCGATGATGGGAATATTTCATTTTCCTCCCTGCTCAATACGGTAGCCACCAGTCACTCCTGGCTATTGAGAACTTGACATGTGGCTAATGCAGCTGAGGAATTGAATTTTTTTTATTTGATTAATTTAATTTTTAATTAATTCAAATTTGAATTTAAATAGGCCAGGCAGATCCCATGTGGTCAAGTTAGCACAGTTAATCACCTACCCTGCACTCAGGCATTAAGTGTCTGCTGTATACATGGCACTGGGCTGTGAAAATGGATCAGACATAGTCCCTCCACCTGAAGGAGCTTGCAGTCTGGGTGGGAAGGACAGAAAGCCGGCAGTGCAAGGTGGACATGCTGTAATGGTGGCTTAGGATCGAGACACTGGGGCCTTCCAAACAGAAGCCATTACTACCGCCCTGGGGGACTTAGGGAAGCCACACCAAAGAACGGAACTGCAGGGTGTGAGATCCATGAGAAGTCATTGGCCAAAGATGGGGAGAGAAGATGCATCCCTAGAGTCTAGAGCTCTGCTGGGACAGATCTGACTAGTTAAAAAGGCTCGGATCAGGATTAGGCTGGGCCTCTGATGAGCTGTGTGACCTTGGGCAAGTCACAGGCCCTTTCGGAGCCTCAGTGTCTTCATTTGTGAAAAGGAAAGAGTACAAATTCACGTCCCAGGGGCCAAGGATTCGGCTGGAAGAACGCAGGTAAGGTGCCCAGCATGGGGAGCCAGCTAGGCAAATGTCTGCTGGACCCAAGTTTGGGGTGGGGCAGGGCTCAGGGAAGAAGGAAGATCTGATGATGGATGTGTGGTAGGTAGGTTACCTGGTGGCACTTTCATGAAATGCCACCCAACTCAAGTTCAGAAAAAGGAATGACTTGTTCATAGTCACATAGCAAGTCTGTGACACAGATGTCGACCTTGGGTCTCCTGTAATAGCTGAACAAATGGGTATTGCTCCTGCAAATGGAGTTTCCATGCCAGCCCTGTCCCAGGCACAGGCCAGTCTCTTAACGCATCATTGTCTTGCCTTACCAGGGCGGGAATAGGTGGATAGTGCTTTGTACTTGCCCTTGTGTAGAGGGGGCTGCTGTCTGCTGCCTTGTGGAGCCAGTCTGCTTTGCCACTGTGGCGTCAGGTGGGAGCCAGACTCCCCTAATTGGCTCCTACCTCTCAATACAGCTGATTTCAGACCCTCCATGGTGGGTCTTGGGGGAGGGGGATCCCCATTAAACAATTAGTGCCTCTTTCCTGGTTCATCCAGCTGTCAGCCCTCTTCCAAGGATGGGCCCCTCTGCTGCAGCTGAGACCCAGTCTTGCCCCACTGGGAGTGAGGGCAGCTGTTAAGCAGCTCTCTGAATGAGGTAGGAAGCAGGGCTCCCAGAAATGGTCCGGTGCAGACATCCCCTGAGTCCCTCACTGCTGCCTGTCACTCTCCCTCACTGCCGCCCCGGGCCTCAGAGGCAGTGGTCTGTCAGCAACTGCATCATCTCTGCTGGAAAGCCCAGCTTAATCCCGAGTTAATGATGGTGGTGGAGGGTAGGGACCCTGCCCCAGCTGGGACCACGAAGAGGGGAGGGGAGAGGAAAGAAGGACGGGGAAGCAGCCTGGCTGCTGGGAACCACCTTGTACAATAGTAGTTTCTGAGAACTCTGGGTGATGGGAGGAGTGAGCCAGGCACACTAATGCTTTAGGACTTTCCCCTTTTCACGTTGCCATGTGCCCGCCCTCACACTTACCCCAGTGCCCACACACATACTTCCTTACACTCACTCTTATATCACAGGTCTGTTTGTACAGACATGTGCAAATACCTCTCTAAGATACTCAAATGGCTAGAAACACATTTATATAAACATTGGTTCCCAAGTTCAAACAGTTGCAAATGACTCTATATAGTCATTTATATATACATGTGTTCATAAACAGGTCTATTTATTGATAGTATGTAAACAAAAGTAATGATAGAAGTAGGTGTCACTGATCGATTGCTTACTGTGTGTAGATACCATGCTCCAAGTTTCCTTCTCATAGCCAGCCCTCGTACCAGACAGGTGCTGCTCTTTTTTACTGCACCAATGTGGAAAGCGAGATTTAGCAAGGTTTAGTAACTTGCCCATGTCACACAGCAAGAAGGAGATCTGAAGATTCCACCTTTGACCAGCCTCACCCTGCAGCCAGCATTCTTAACAATGGTGTGCACCATCCTTGATTTTTAGGGAAGATCTGGGTCCCTGTTCCATCCCAGAGGTATAGAATCAGAATCACTAGGAGCAAAGCCCAGAAGTTCAGGCTGTGAAAATCGTGTCGGGTCATTCGAAGGGGTGGACAGCCCAGCACTGCACTGTGAGGGCTTCCAGGCACAGCCACCCTGTAATATGATGCCCTCCATGCTAGGTCTCACTCATACCTCCACCCCTACAGACACCTTCCCACACATGGCTTCCCATACTTCTGCACACATGCACACTCACACACACTACCAGCTCTTCCTGCTGTGTTGTTCCACAGTCTCTTTCCTGATAACTCTTGCCCCAAAACAACCTTGCAAAGGAGCCAGAATTACTTCTGTAATTCCAGCTCTGTAATAGTTATATGCAGGAGGATCAAGGTCCTAGGCTGACTTGGGCAAAAAGCTTGAGATCCTATCTGAAAAATGACTAAAACAAAAAGGGCTTGGGGTGGTGCTCAAGTGGCAGGGCACCTGCCTAGCAAGTGTGAGGCCCTGAGTTCAAACTCCAGTATTGAAAAAAAGAAAAGGAAAAGAAGAGAGAGAGAGAGAAAGAAAGAAAGAAAGAAAGAAAGAAAGAAAGAAAGAAAGAAAGAAAGAAAGAAAGAAAGAAAGAAAGAAAGATATCTTGCAGAAGAGAGGAGGGATCGGAGAGACAAGACAGCAAGGGGACATCCTTGCTGCCTCTTCTTGCCCTGATTGCCTACAGGAGTCCAAAGTTGTATCCCAAGGACAGGGCAGCAAGCAAAGCCAAGAGCTAAGACATCTTCCAGGCAGGGTGGGCACAATCGAGGGGATTTACTTCTGTCTTTCTGTTGCTCTGGGAGGTGGCAGACCAGGTCCTGCTGCCTTCTGGCTCCTCTGTGTCTGAGAGCCCTGGAGGTTGCTCACACCCTTCACCTCAGATGGTGCCAGCACTGAGTTGTCAATGACGGAGGGGATGCTCTCCTCTGCCCAACCTGGGTGGATGTCTCCTGCACTGTGCAGCTGGGGCTTCCCACCCCGGCAGCTCTTCTGGTCCAGTGGGCTCTGGGACAGGTAGCTAAGCCTAGGTACTGGGGGTTCCCCCACCCTCCAGGTCAGCTGTTTCCTGGCAGCCTCATGGAGCTGGCTGCAGAACTGAGAGGCAGCAAAGACATAATGAGAATTCCTGAAAGTATGCCAGTGGAGACAAAGACTTAGACGCATGGCTTTAGCCTGACAGGGTCTGGGGGTAGAAGGTAGAACCTGCAGTGGCCAGCATTCCAGCATTGCAGAGCAGGTGCTCCGTCTCCCATGGAGTTCTTTGGGGAAAAGAAATGCCAGTGGACCTGGGCATTAGGCAGAGGGCAAGCCACAGGTCCAGCAGGCTCATCAGCAGCAGCCTTGGTGACCCCAGAGCTCCAGGACAGGTAGCTCTCCAGCCCTCTCCCCTCCCTCCCTTCTGCCAGTTATCTTTCTTCCTCTAAGCTGAGCACCACGGGGCCAAAACCTTCATGGGATCCAGGAGAACTTTCTGGACATGACAGACATGTCCCGTGGTCTGTGCTCTCCAAGGTGGCTACTGAGCACTTGAAACATGGCTGGTGCTGGCTAGTGAACTGAAGACATGGGTTTTGAATTGAATTGAGTCTTAGCTTAGAAGTTCCATGTAGTCATATCTACCATATTAGACAGCCTTAGAGGCCTTAGCTCCTGGCGGACAGCATGGAGATCTGGTTGTGCTAAAATCTTGCTGTGTTACCAAGGGTAAACCACTCACTCACTCACTTTGGGTCATTTTTACTTTATCTACAACCAGCCAAAGACTCATTTCCTTGCCTCCTAACCTCAAAGGACACATAAGATCCATATATGGGAAATTTTTAGCAAGGAATGGCCTCAGAAGTCTGGGTGCTAAGGCGAAGCAGAGGTAATTATTTGTGTAACCCTCATAAGTGAGAGCTGTCCCTCTAGAGCCCAATGACCCCTCTTACCTGGAGAGGAGACAAGGACCACAGTGGGCAGCAGCAGCAGCAGGCATGGCTTCTTCCTGGTGGGTGTCCCCATTGTGGGGGTCCTGAGCAGAGGCAGGGATCAGAGGAGGGGAGCGTCGGGCCAGTCTGGCTGGAGGGTCTGGCTGGAGGTTGAGAAGCACCTGGTGGTGGGGAGGGGCAGAGCACAGAAGACTCTGAGCAAGGCGCGCCCCTCCCAGCTCCAGGCACATCTGGTCAGTAATGCTTTCCCTTGTCTGGGCTGCTGCTGGAATGGCTCAAGCACTCATTCTCCCCAAGTCCCAGGGGAGGGGGTTTGGCCATTACCAAGGAGCTCTTCCTGGGCTGAGTGCCTCCACCACCCCTGGGAGTCTGGCTTTGCCTTCTTCTCCCTCCCCCAGTCAGCAGGGTGCTGATAAGGTGAAAGCAATACTAATTGGAGGCAAGAACCCACCTATCCTCCTGCCTGAGCTAACCCTAGGTAGCTCTCCCTGTAGGATCCAGAAGAGAGCAGGGCCTGTGTGTGGGGGGGGTGGGGGCAGAGATATCTTCCTCTGGCAATTGGGGGTGTTGAGGCTGACTCTCCCTGTGTCTCTCTCCACAGGAGCCTGGGTAGGGGCTAATAAGCCCCTCTGGGAGCTGCATCAAGTCTCTGGATCAGCCTTCTTTTTCTTGCAGTAAGAAGAGGTCTTATGATTTATCCTTGCCCTCAGGCCAGGGTGCCCAGGTAAGGCACTTAGACACTTTGTGTGGTGGAGTCATGACCTTGGCCCCATTAGCCATTCTCCCACCAGATGGACTAATGGACCAGCAGGCCTTCTGGGCTACAAGAGTTATCTTGGCTCCCAGAAGAGCCTCCCTTTTACAGAGTTAGCAGAGCCTTGGTTAAACATGGCACTCCCAAAACCCTGCCCCAGGAAGGCTGCAGAGAGCAAGACAGTGGCCTGACATGGTCTGAGAGACGTCATCTTGAGTAGGGGCAAGGAGCTGGGCAAGCCTCCCATATACTCTCTCTTCCCAGGAGGACTTCTTGAGGTCCAGGGAGCAGAGACTCAGGGTTCTACCTCCCAGTTGTTGGAGTGAGCCAGGTCACCAGTGCCCCCAGCTCCCTCTTGGAGCTGTCCCAGGGGTTGGACTAACTGGCTGCCCCACCTGCCTGCCTGTAGAAGCCACAACAAAGGACAGAGGACCAGGTGGAGGCTTTTCCACTAACCCACTGTAACCCAACTGTCTCTGGATCTGTGTCCTCCTCTGTGAAAGGGGTCTCTTTTAGGTCCCTTCAGCTCTGGTACTCTGTGCTCCCAGAGAGATGGATGGCTAAGGGCTTGGGACTTCTGGTCACTTGGGTAGAGTCAGGGTGAAGAAGGGAGGCTTTGGAGGGCTCTAGGCTGCCCCAGGGGCCTGGACAGGGTCTGAAGATGAGTGCAGCCTCAGGAGGTGCCTCCCTTCACTTCACACTCAACTTCCTTGGAAAGAGCTGCCAGCACTCCTCCACAGGGGAGTCACCCACCACCTTTCCACCTCCTGACAGCCACAGCTGGCACCCCCAGGGCCTGTCAGGGAGGATGTGGCAGGGATGCTGGGAGGAGCCCAGAAACGGGCTTTTGTGGGGGGTGGGGAGCAGATGTTACTCCTCATCTCCAGCCTCATATCCTCTTCCCCTTGTCAAGAAGGCACCCAGGTACCATCCCACAGCACCTGCCCCTCCCTGTCCTTGCTGCGGTCAGTTCCCAATTAAATCCAGGACATGCCCCCCACATGCTTCTCCCACATGTCCCCCACAAGTCCGTTCCCCTGTAGCACCCTCCCTAGGTGAGATGTCCTCAGCCACAGGTCCTGTTCACGCCTCACCCTGCCAGAAAGTGCCTAAGAGGCCAAGTCTGCATATAGAATTCAGTTCTGCTCTGGACAGCACCCTAAGTGGTCAGAGAGCTTCTGCTCATGGCACTGTTTGTCTCCACTGGCAGGGTGTGAGCTCCCCGAGGGGGAGACTGTATCATGATCATCTTGGGATCACTATGCCCAGTAAAGGGTGTCACATCTAACCGATTGAAAACCACTGTGGTTGTATGCCTCCAGGAGCCATCAGACATATGCGTGCGTGTGCACAAACACAAGCTCACACATTGGAGCTTAATATAAATTTCCTCAGGTGACACGTCTTCAGTGCTCTCTGAAGCAACCCAGGGCAAACTGGCACACATACATAGGTACACACACACACACACACACACACACACACACACACACACCCTCAGGTCTCTAGGGACAGCAGAGTATCTGATCATGGGGAAATCTTAAAAGTTTGCCCTTGGTTGTCACACAAATGAAGGGAGCTATGGTCAGAATAGGGAGGCATGGAGCAGACTGAAACCTTCCAGGATGTGAATTTCATCTCTAACAGCTCTGTGAGCTTGGGCAGGTTATTCCTCCTTGTAGTGTCTCAGTTTTCTCATCTGCAAAGTGGAGATTATAATATGGCTTTGCAAAGCTGTTCTGCATGTTAGATGAGGCAACAGAGTGCCCTGCAGTGGTTCCCAAGTTGCTGTGAAGCCTTGGGCTGTTTGGACCTGTGAGGGGCAGCCACGGTGGGGAGAGAAGGCTCTAGACCCCTTCCCCACTCCCGTGAGAGCATCACCACTTCTATCTGCTTCATCTGCAGGACTTTTCCAGAAGGTTCCCTTGTGGGAAAACTTCTCCAACCAGTCTGACAGTCACCCATGGCACTGGTAAGCCACGACCTGGTTTCTGGTACAGAGAAGGTACTCTGTCATCATTGGCGCCCATCCTTTCTCAGCCTGCCAGTGCTGGGAACTGGTGCAGGAGGAGGGGCCAGCAGGGGAAGAGCTGGGCTGCAGGCTCTCATCCTGAATGTACTAGACCAAGGCAGAGATGGAGGTTGCAGTGGTCACCTCCACCTGCAGTGGTCAGAATTATCTGTGGTCTCTGTTCCCCTAGGTGATACTGCAGATTGTGGATAATCCATTCCCACCACTCGTCTTAAACTTCAGTACCTAGCAAAGTGTGTTACGTCTAACCGATTGAGAACCACTGTGGTTAGACGCCAGTCTTTTATCAGCCATCTCCCCAGTCCAAGGGTACTATCTGGGGACAGAGACCTGCAGCCTTAGAGGAGATGTGTATGGGGTCAAGGCAGGGCTGAGGTTGCCTTCAGAGAGCACTGGACAGCTGTCAGCTTGATCAGATGTATGCTGAGTTTCATTGTGTGCCGAGGCCTTGTGTACACGAACACGAGTGCACACATGCACACATACAGAGTCTGGGCTAAAGGTTGGAGGTTATTGCCAAAATAACCAGTCTTGCCTTGGCATCCAGTCTTGCCTTGCATCCGTTTCCATTACAGTGTTTCTTGACCATGTGCTGAGCACAGGGGAGATGATAAGGAAGACACTGCTTTTCTGGAGCAACCTGACCAACAGAGCAGCTGAGATGTGCTCACAAGTCCCTAGACCAGTCATCTCTCCACACCATTTGCCCCATGACACATTCTAGAATGCCCAGGATGGAGGGGGCCCTTTTGTTGGAAGAAAGGCTGGAGTGGAATTATGCCAGGCCCAGGCCTGAGCCAGCCAAGCCTTGCCCAGGCCAGCTGCCCAAGTGCAGGGGTGCAGGCGCAGGCTGTCACTGGCGGGCACAGGCTGTCACCATTGGGGCTGGCCCTATGAGGTACCCACATATGGGGTAACAGGCCACTTGGGGGTCCAATGGCACTGAGGGAGCTGGCTGAAGTTCTTAGTCTAGGAAACAAAGAGCCTGGGAGGCAGCTGGGGGACAGAAGGCTGTGAGTTAGACTCCAACACATGACAGGGTTTCCTGGGCTAAGGACCCTGCATGGAGCCAGTCAGAAAATGAAAGATACACTCCCCCAAAGTACTTCCTCTTGGGATGCCTGCCTCCTGGCCCCGAGTCTGTCTCCCCCGCTCCCAGAGAGTGGAGATTGGAAGAGAAGGGATTGGCAACTTTTGCGTGGGTGGTGATGGGTAAAGGGAGGTTTGGAGCTAGTAGAGGGCAGAGATTGGTTTCTTATTAGTCTTCAAAGTATTGTAGAAGCCCTTGGGGTCCCACCTTGGCCCTTGGTCCCATAGCACAGAGGCTAACAGGGTAGTGAATTGCACCAACCAGATCCTAGTAAAACTAACTAGTATAACATTAAGTTACCTTCATACTTAGCCTCTCCTAGCCTTAGTCTCCATCTGCAAAATGGAGAAGAAGGGTGAGACTATCTTAAGGAGACTATATGAGGTCAGAGCCACACTTGGCTCTTTATAAGTGCTTGGGGGAAGATGTGATCTTGTCACTGAAAACCCGCCCAGCCTCCCTATGCCTGCAAGTCATTGTGCCTGACCAGTCAGGCTTACTGACTCAGTCACAGTCCTCAGGCTGCACTCACACCTGCTTAGGGGACTGATCCCCCACTGTCTCCTGGACAAGTGCTTTCCTCCTCTTATATGCCCCAGGTGTGGTGGACCTAGGAAAGCACCAGCAGCCACTCAAATGGGCACAAGGACACTGATGGTAGACTTACACCCAGTGCAGTGTATTCGGGAGGGGCACAGGTGGGATGTGCACATGGGCTCTCTAGAGTCAATTCTCCTTTTCAACCCCACATCTTCTGCCTTGGGGGACAGAAGACAGAGCTCAGCATCTTATCCTCTGCTTAGGACAGGCATTGCCACCTGGGGCAGTGCAGTGACCCTTCAGGAAGGTCTCAATCATCCCATCTCCTCTATGAGGACATTTCAGGCTCAGATGGGGACTTCTGGGGTGCTCAGAGTGCCAGGCCAGGTAGCAACTGGCAGAGGGAAAAGGACCTGGGTTAAGAGCTCTCTATAGAAACCTGGAGAGCTGGAGAGGGTCTTTGGGTAGATATGGGTGAGATAGGGACCGCCTCAGCCCCAAATGGGGGACAGAGATGCTGTGTAGCCAAGTCCCTCCTCAGCCCCGCTGTGCACTCCCTCTCTCTTCCCTTAGCTTTCTCTGCAGGTTCTTTGTATCTGAAGCTGGTTCCCGGAGGCCCCAAGCCCTGGTGCAGATATATGCACTGGGCAGCTGGTG